GCTAGGCTAGTGCTGCTTGAGTCTAGTCTAGTCACTACTCTAGCTGGACTCTAGAAGAATCCTTAACTTGTTCTTTACAATCAACAATTAATTACTAATTAATTAGGCTTATGCCTATTTATTTATTACGATAGTTTGGCCTAACCTAATTAATTAATCAACAGGTTTTGTACCATATTGACAAATAACCTGTTGTTTGGATTAGTATTTATCTCCTACATCTAAATGGTTTATTGTCCCCAGTTAAAGGCTCTCATCTTCCTGGGGATCCAAACTCAGTGGTGTTAGCAATAAAGGGTTTTCCCATCTGCCATCACCCTACTTTTAACTTGACATTAACAATTATACTAGATCTATAAGGAATTATTAATGTTTTGTAATTATTGTCTTCACTGTTAAAGTCATTTTTTGCTATAACTTGCTATTAGCAATATTAGCATGTCTCTCTAAATTTAATTAGGCCTATTTGGTTATTATAGTGAATATTGAATAGATTATTATTATGTAAGTATACATCTAATATATAAAGCTCAATTCTGTAACGCATATGTTTGTCGTTGGCATTTCTACGGATTTAAGTGTTAGATCAATTATCGTGCGCGTTTGTCTAAATTTATGAGTTAAAAAATTACTATTAAAAGTGTTGGGAAATCATTTTCATTTTTCAAATTATAGTAATAATTGTCGGCATGTTCATTAAACACAAGTTTAAAAAAAAATATCATCTTTTACAAAAATTCTAATTATGTTTTTATTTAGTCCTATAGCGCTTACTTCCCTTTGATAAATTAGGCAAAACACAATTACTTCCCTTTATGAAACCCATTGCATTAGTTGAAAAGCATTTACTTTTTAATTACTTTGTTTTGGTGTTGGGAAAAAAAATAATTACATAATTAGCGGGGATTGATCAAGTGCAAATGTTTTAGGTATTTTACGGATAAGCTTGGAGTATTATAATTGTTCATTAAATTGAAACAGGCGCGTTCGTTTAAGTGAGTGCAAAAACTATGAATAAGTTGGGGTACTATAGTCGTTTATTAAGCTAAAACAGGCGATTCTGCCCCGGGCGTTTATGTTCGCGTTAGTGTTTTCTTTGTGTTTAGGTGGGTTTGCGTTAGTGGTTGCGTTTTGATTTGGTTCGTTTTTGTTCTTTCTTTTTTCGTTTTTGTTTGTGTTTTTTTTTGTTTGGGTTTGTATTTGTGTTTTTGGTTGGTTTTGCGTTTGGATTTGGTTTGTTTTCGTTCTTTCTTTTTTCGTTTTTGTTTGTGTTTTTTTGTTTGGGTTTGTATTTGTGTTTTTGGTTGGTTTTGCGTTTGGATTTGGTTTGTTTTCGTTTGCTTTTTCGTTTTTTTTTTTTTTTTTTGTTGGTATTGGTGTTTGTGGTTGGGTTTGTTGTTAGGTTTTTGTTTTCGTTTGCTTTTTTGTTTGTTTTTTCTTTGTGTTTGTATTGGTGTTTGTGGTTGTGGTTGGGTTTGTTGTTAGGTTTTTGTTTTCGTTTGTATTTGTAATTGTGTTAGCGTTATGTTTGCGTTTTGTTGTTTTGGTTGGTTGTGGTTTGGGTGGGCAATGCCGGGTTTATGATGATTACTAAACACACAGGTAATGGTCGTTAACAGAAAGGTTTTTCACAGAAGCCAGAGCAGGGCCTGGCCGGGACGGCTAGTATTTGCTAAATTACTTGATTAATTAATTAATTTTATAACTGTTGTCATTGTGAAATATGCCTTAGATTCCAAATTCCAATTCTCTTTAGAAGTAAAAGGAAATAGAATTTTTTTTTTAAAGTTAATCGAAGAATAAAAATCCTAAGAATGAAACCAAGAAGTTAAATCTAATATATAAAGCTCAGTTCTGTATGTAACGCATATGTTTGTCGTTGGTCTTCGATGGATTTAAGTGTTAGACAATTATCGTGCGCATTTGTCTAAATTTATGAGTTAAAAAATTACTATTGAAAGTGTTGGGAAATAATTTTCATTTTTCAAATTATAGTAATAATTGTCGGCATGTTCATTAAACACAAGTTTTAAAAAAATATCATATTTTACAAAAATTCTAATTATGTCTTTATTTAGTCCTATAGCACTTACTTCCCTTTGATAAATTAGGAAAACACAATTACTTCCCTTTATAAAACCATTGCATTAGTCGAAAAGAATTTACTTTTTAATTACTTTGTTTTGGTGTTGGGAAAAAAAATAATTACATAATTAGCGGGGATTGATCAAGTGCAAATGTTGTAGGTATTTTACGGATAAGCTTGGAGTGTTAAAATTGTTCATTAAATTGAAACAGGCGCTTTCGTTTAAGTGAGTGCAAAAGACTATGAATAAGTTGGGGTACTATAGTCGTTCATTAAGCTAAAACAGGTGATTCCGCCCCGGGCGTTTATGTTCGCGTTAGTGTTTTCTTTGTGTTTAGGTGGGTTTGCGTTAGTGGTTGCGTTTTGATTTGGTTCGTTTTTGTTCTTTCTTTTTTTGTTTTTGTTTGTTTTTTTCTTTGGGTTTGTATTTGTGTTTTTGGTTGGTTTTGCGTTTGGATTTGGTTTGTTTTCGTTGTTTTTTTGTGTTGGTATTGGTGTTTGTGTTTGGGTTTGTTGTTAGGTTTTTGTTTTCGTTTGCTTTTTTGTTTGTTTTTTCTTTGTGTTTGTATTGGTGTTTGTGGTTGTGGTTGGGTTTGTTGTTAGGTTTTTGTTTTCGTTTGTATTTGTAATTGTGTTAGCGTTATGTTTGCGTTTTGTTGTTTTGGTTGGTTGTGGTTTGGGTGGGCAATGCCGGGTTTATGATGATTACTAAACACACAGGTAATGGTCTTTAACAGAAAGGTTTTTCACAGAAGCCAGAGCAGGGCCTGGCCGGGACGGCTAGTTATAAATATAGTTAAAATGAATGTAACAATTCTCTAAACAGGCATTTAAATTTATTTATTTTATTCAATGTTATACCTCAGCATTGAACCATTGAGGTGGTGACACATAGTGCACAAAGTTAAGTCTGCAGTCTTGCTTTAACCTCAGTTCAGAGTATCAGGTATAAAAATAATAGTAGAATATTCATATATGATATAGAGGAATGTTACATAACACTTCCTCTACTACTGTAGTTAGTGGCAGTTACTGTCAAGGCTAGAGTAGTGATACTAGCAACACTAAAATAAACTTGCTTTTATAAGTTCTGTCAAACACCTAAATAAATCAGTATTCAACAAGGGCAATAGTACAACCCACATATTCAAGTTTTATTTCATTTATGAAAATCAATAAGTTGAATGCAGTTTTGTCTATGAATTCTCAAATATGATTTAAAATCAAAACCTTGAAGAAACTCAAAAGACTGATATTTTTTTTATAGATTTAAGGTTTTAAGCTTCCTTCTCTTAAGTATGCCTATTGTACATATTAGATTATGATAATAAATTGTATGTGATATATTTTATTTAATGTTAGTCTTAAATTTTAATCTCATCATAAAAATTCTGTCATCATACTTTATGTGGGTGGATCTAACATGTAAAGTTTGTTGGGTTTTTTATAGTAATCTCTGACTTAATATAATATATTGTAACAAATTGTTTCCTATGAGACACTACTTGGGTTGTGCCCTGAAAATGAAGTCTAAAACATTTGCTCAATCATTCAGTACCTGAGTTCTATACATCAATGTCAGGCTATACTTGTGAGGACAGCTGTCATATTTCTGACAGATGGACAGTTTATTCTCTCAGTGTGTGTAGCCACATTGAGATTCTTTTCTTTTGTGGGGAATTCTTTACATGGAAGTTAGTTCCCAATGTACCGACTTGAAAACCTTCACAAGTGATAAGGCGTAGAACAGTTATATTTGGGTTACTTTATGTTGTGTTAGGATTTATACGCAGCTCTAACCATAGATATTAAACTTGGGGATTCTAGTCTGCTTCAACATGGTACACTATAGGGCAGTTTTTGTAGTGCCGTTGTTTTTAGAAATAGCTAAGTTACGGTGTTGTGGTCAGCTAAAGACTATAGTTACTAACATTACAATGTCATGTCACCTCCTCTAACTTGCCCACCACAGAACAGACCTCAGTACACTGGGAGATAACTTTAACATAAAACATTTGATTATCTCCTCCTGACCATCTGGTCAGTTCAACTGTTTCATAACAAAGCTGTCTTCACACAAGGAAGAAAACTGAGGCAGTTTATCTTTTCTCTGAGAGCTATTCACCAAAATCAGATATGAGATTTGGGATCTCCATCCTACACTTGTTTCCTGTGTGTTGTCCACTTGTTCCTGCCCATTAGTTTCATCAATAACAAGCCGTCATGTCACAAGTGTGCTAATGGTCTGGGCATAAATTGTCCCTGTCAGAAACTGGTGTTCCCCACTCAGGTCTCATGTTGATCACTGATGGAGCTTTACATGATTAGATTTGTTAAGTCACTGCTAGTTCAATAGGCTAGAGATGTATGTAAAGTGTTTTCTAACACTCACAAGTCATTTAATCTATTTCAATGAGGGAAATTAAAATTTTATAATTTGTTAAGCTAAATATCATATATGTTATATAGTTGAGTCTAAATATTTTTTTAAAAATTAAAATAGAGTGCATGTGACTACAGGGATGTTAGAGTTACTGTATCTAGTTACTGTTATCTCACAGATCTGTACTGAAACCATGAAACTTGAATTTATAGCCTGGTGATTTGGTTTTTTTTCATTATGTGTCATAGTTTAAGTAAACTAGTAAACTCTTTTAAAATCATGTGTTTAACAATCTAAATGTTAGATTACTTTAAATATTTATCTAGTTTAATTGGACTATTAAATTATCAATATCAGTTTGTTGTTAATGGAATCAGGCGATGGCTAGGTCAAGGTAAATGTCAAGTTTGAAATTATGTTGTTTGTGTTGGCAATAACTGGCTGCAGGTGTTCCAATTTACTCACATTTAGAACTTAAAAAGTAATGATTTTATTTTAAATCTTTTCTCCATTTAGTTACTGGAGCCTATACTATAGGCTCCAGTAACTAAAGGGAGAAAAGATTTGAAATAAAAACATTACTTTTTATAGGGTTAAACTTAACATCATGTTAATTTAATGCTTTTATTTCAAATCTCTTCTCTTATAGTTGCTGGAACCTATAGGGTTAAACAAGCTTGTTGTAGGAATAAAGGCAGGTAGAAAGTAAACACTGATAGGCTGTAATACATTTCAAAAGGGACATTTCTAGAGGATGTGATACAGGTGAACTGTGTCTCACCTAGACGTCATCAACCGGGGAACAGGTGAACTGTGTCTCACCTAGACATCATCAACCGGGGAACAGGTGAACTGTGTCTCACCTAGACCTCATCAACCAAGTACTGGGAAACCTTTGTGTTGTTTTTGAGCTGCTGCACCAGTAAACAGAGAGAGAAATCAAGTTTTATCTAGAGGGGCCAGGCTGAAACTTGTGAAGATGGATTCCTTACTGCGCAGTGAAAAGATGACCTTGTGTCAGATGTTCCTGCAGTCTGAGGCAGCTTACACATGTGTATCAGAGCTGGGGGAGCTAGGACTGGTACAGTTTAGAGATGTGAGTACTCACTGTGCCAGTTTTACTGGTACAGTTTAGAGATGTGAGTACTCACTGTGTCAGTTTTACTGGTACAGTTTAGAGCTGTGAGTACTCAGTGTGTCAGTTTTACTGGTACAGTTTAGAGCTGTGAGTACTCAGTGTGTCGGTTTTACTGGGACTGGTACAGTTTAGAGATGTGAGTACTCACTGTGTCAGTTTTAGTGGTACAGTTTAGAGATGTGAGTACTCACTGTGTCAGTTTTACTGGTACAGTTTAGAGATGTGAGTACTCACTGTGTCAGTTTTACTGGTACAGTTTAGAGCTGTGAGTACTCAGTGTGTCGGTTTTACTGGGACTGGTACAGTTTAGAGATGTGAGTACTCACTGTGTCAGTTTTACTGGTACAGTTTAGAGATGTGAGTACTCACTGTGTCAGTTTTACTGGTACAGTTTAGAGCTGTGAGTACTCACTGTGTCAGTTTTACTGGTACAGTTTAGAGATGTGAGTACTCACTGTGTCAGTTTTACTGGTACAGTTTAGAGCTGTGAGTACTCAGTGTGTCGGTTTTACTGGGACTGGTACAGTTTAGAGATGTGAGTACTCACTGTGTCAGTTTTACTGGTACAGTTTAGAGATGTGAGTACTCACTGTGACAGTTTTACTGGTACAGTTTAGAGATGTGAGTACTCACTGTGTCATTTTTGCTGGTACAGTTTAGAGATGTGAGTACTCACTGTGTCAGTTTTACTGGTACAGTTTAGAGATGTGAGTACTCACTGTGACAGTTTTACTGGTACAGTTTAGAGATGTGAGTACTCACTGTGTCATTTTTGCTGGTACAGTTTAGAGATGTGAGTACTCACTGTGTCAGTTTTACTGGTACAGTTTAGAGATGTGAGTACTCACTGTGCCATTTTTACTGGTACAGTTTAGAGATGTGAGTACTCATTGTCATTTTTACTGGTACAATTTAAAGATGTGAGTACTCACTGTGTCATTTTTACTGGGACTGGTACAGTTTAGAGATGTGAGTACTCACTGTGTCAGAACTAACAGACTAAAGAACATTTTTTAATTAATTATTTATTTTACAATCAATTTTCAATTATTTAGGCCTAATGATTCTAATTTTTTAGTTAGAGAACTAAATTGTAGCATGTGTATAAAAAAACAACTACTTTTGTTCTTGTATTCTTATTTTAAAATGTTTGTTTTTGATGTGTAAAAATGTACTTTCAGCTGAACCCTGATGTAAATGCTTTCCAAAGGAAGTTTGTAAATGAGATTAGGAGATGTGAGGAAATGGAAAGAAAATTACGTAAGAATTCTGGCACTAGGAATAGTGTCATTTTTTATTACCTGTTAAAATAAAGAGTCAAGGAATTATTAATGCTAAAAAATTTTTTATTCTAAATTTTTATTTTAAGTGTTTTTCACTAAAAAAAATGTTGACGAATATTTTCTTTGCAAAAATGAAACAGGGTTTTTGGAAAAAGAAATCAATAAAGACGGCATCCCAATGCTGAACACTGGAGACAACCCAGATGCCCCTGCTCCCAGAGAGATGATTGATCTGGAGGTCAGAGTTCAACTTCTTTATTTTGTTGTAACAAAAATTGTCACACATATTTACACTTTGTCTGGTCAGTACCATGGTCAGTTTTAATCCTGCTGATATGGCAGGGTAAAACTTACATGCTATTTATTAGTCATTGTGTTTACAAAATGTTTTATAAACTTTGTTAAATCTTCCAACATTAGGCAACCTTTGAAAAATTGGAAAATGAAATGAAAGAAGTCAACTCAAACTCAGAGGCCCTGAAGCGCAACTTTCTTGAGCTGACTGAACTCAAGCACATACTTAGGAAAACACAGACATTCTTTGATGAGGTGAGGTCACCATCTTTTTAGATTCAGCTTTCTTAGTTTAATAGTTATCAACATTCATCATGTTTTGGTCAAATAATCAACATTCAACTGGGTTTTTTTTGTCAACATTCAATTCAACATGTTTTGGGCCCAAAATTATCAACATTCAATTTTTTATTTATTTAACAATTGTTAACATTTAGCATATTTTGTTCAATTGAATATCACTCCAGAAAATGTTTTGGTAAAATAAAAATTCATAATTTTCAACATGTTTTGGTAAAAAATGTAACTACAACATATTTTGTTCAGGTTTATAAACACATTTTAATGACAATTTTAAATATGTATTCCCGTCGGTTTAATGTGTATGTTATCATTGATAACCATATTTACTTGTACATATCGTTTACATATTAAGACTGAAAAACCTTAGATTGATATGGTGGACAAAATTTGAATAGTAGTTTTGTTTTGTATTTTAAAAAAAAAATTATTTCATCTTTTTTACTTTTCTTTCTCTACTGGCACCATTGTGTATCGTGTGGTGACGTACCCTTGCTATTGGTGGGTTGGAGTTTTTTCTTCCATGTGCAGTAGTGTTGAGTTGGCTTTCTTGTTTCATTTTGATATTAGATTTACTGTTTCTGGTTTGTTTTGCTGTGTATTCACCTCACTCAACAGCCTAGGCATCAGAAATTAACATGTAAACTATAGCAGAATCTATTCTCATAAATTCTCATAGTTTACTCGCTTATCTTTCTTAAATCAAACTTGTTAAAATTAATATTTCCAAAAATGTTGCCTTAACTGTTATGTAATGCTGAGAAAGAAACTGTAGAAGCATGAAGTTACATGATCTATATTTTTAGATTTGCACTCTGCTATAGTTTCTAGTATTTATAAAGTATATATCTGTACTGTCAGAACTATTTTTGTAGGAAAAGAAATTCCTGAAAGCACTTGATGAAACAGAAAAAGTTAACTGTACAATTAAAAACATTCTTTTGTGCTTTAAAAATAGTTCTGGGCACTCCTGGATAATCTGTATGACAACTACACTATTTGTTTAAGCCTTGTGCATCCTGTTTAAAGCTCCCTAAATTTACATAGAGGGAAGTCACTACTATTTATTTTTTTCTTAAAGCCTACCATCACTAATTAATCTCAAATGAGTCATTCTGTAAAAGTATGACATTACAACCCAGATATTTAAGTATCTGCCTATTATTCTGAAAGTTTTTGAAAAAAATGTACAACTTTTCAGATATTTGAAATCTTCTTTGAGAAACAGCATAATCTCTGTTAAATACCCTTTTGTTTTTCCGTTGCTACTTTAAATGATTGTTTAATGTTTACTACTGAATAAATGCCTTCTTATATAATTATGTGCATGCTTAAATTTTGTTTTGTAATACTGTAAACGTTCTTTTTTTTCAAGTCGATTATTATTTCCTCATGATTTAGTTCTTGTGTCACAGATAAGGTTGTAGAGCTTTAAAACAATATATCATGCTTGAGAATTGTTAACGAAATTTATTTCTGTTTTTTACTTTCTCCTATACAGAGTGTAGAGGAATTATTGAAATTGTGCAAATAATTGAGACAAATCTTGACATTTTACACCTACTTAAGTTGGAAAAACCTAGTTTTACAATTTTGCCAGTATGTCTGTTTGTGTGAATACGTACCTTTAGTATCAATTCAGTTAATTGGACAAAATATAATTTTTAGATGCTATTTGTTGGTTCCTACGAACTTTGAGTGATTTCCTGTAACCAGGAGTAGTGCTTTACGTTATTTCCAATTTCTCAAAAACTTGTGAATTTGATAATTTATTATCAGAAGCTGGCATATTCTATGATTTCTCAAAAAACTAATTCCACTGGAAATGCTATCCCAAAATTTATTGTAATATAACCATATACGAGAAATGATTGCATATTTAGAGTAGTCACTTGTTTTAACTATGGCTAGAAGCATGAAATATATTTGGCCAGAAGCATGAATGTGTTAAATCCTCCACACTGTATCTTTTATTAGCATTGCTGTGTAGTGATTGTCAAGAAGAATATTTGTACACCTAATGCATCTTTCTTGAACACGTAACCCTATTTTTAAAGTATTTTTCATGTAAACTTCACGGATATGCTTGATATCCCATTATACTAGCTAGTAATGAAAACCTGGGTAGTTCTTTTTATCAGTTTGTACCACAAAATGTGGAACGCTTATCATTTTCCATTGAAGCTATTTTAAAACTGAATAAAATACGTTGTTATCTATGTCTAAAATCTTTAGACAAAAACAGTGTGATAAATATTCAGGTCATCATTACAATATAAAAAATTACCTAGGGTTTCAAACAACTTTTTCATTTATATTTTTGTTTGCTTAGAACTAAAAAATATTTGAGGGAAAAACCAGTGTTCTTTTTTTTTTATAACATGTTGATGAAATGTATCATAACCTTGCTTATACATATGTATTTTATTAGGTTATAGATAATTTATTTTAATTTTACTTTTCAAAATAGTGTCACATTAATTTAATTATTGTAAAAATGTGATACATTGCTTTAAGCTAAATTATCTTCTAGAGTACAATAAGTTATTGAGCCATGAGAAGACTTAATGTTACATATTTATTGACAGTGATAAATGTTTGTGTGTTCTCTTGTAGGCACTGTTCAACTACCAGGCTCTGCATGACCCAAGTATAACAGAGGAGAGGATTGGTCTGCTTGGAGATGAACAACAACCTAGAGCTGGGCAGCCAATGAGATTAGGGTAACTTTTTGACCTCACTTTTCTGATTGGTCATATTTTTTTTAGAAAGAATCTCCTCCGAATTTCATTGGATGTTATTTTAAGACGATAGGCAATGTTAAATTTATTATAGTTTTGTTGCTGGTGTAATTTTAAGCCGATGATTAGCTATTTTAAATGTTACAAGTTTGATGCTGGTGTAATTTTAAGGAGATGATTAGCTATTTTAAATGATACAGGTTTGTTGCTGGTGTAATTTTAAGGAGATGATTAGCTATTTTAAATGATACAGGTTTGTTGCTGGTGTAATTTTACGAGAAAGAATTCCATCCTTTGAGGTGATGCTGTGGCGAATTTGTCGTGGCAATGTTTTCCTGAGGCAGGCTGAAATTGATTCCCCCATGGAGGACCCCATCACAGTAGGCCAACCCTCTACATTTTATAGAATAATTGACTCATATTTGCAAATATTCACCATTTTCTGATGCCTGCACTAATAAAACAGTGAGGAAGGTTGAGGCTGGTATGAAGCGTATGTTGAATTTCTCTTCTCATTCAGTTTTGTGATGTTCAAATTTGATCTTTGTTTACAGGGTGACAGTGTGCACAAATCTGTCTTTATTCTGTTTTTCCAAGGAGAACAATTGAAAGCTCGAATTAAAAAAATTTGTGAAGGGTATGTTGACTTTAACTGTTACACTTAGGAAAGTTTTAATGCTATTTATAGTTTGATGAAATATTCTAAGCTACAAATAATTTCCTGTACAATATCACAGTTAACTGTACACTTTACTCATGTCCTTTAATAACTGACTTTTAAAATATATCCTCAGGTACAGCGCTACACTGTACCCATGTCCTTTAATAACTGACCTTTAAAATATTTCCTCAGGTACCGCGCTACACTGTACCCATGTCCTGAAACTCAAACTGAAAGACGAGAGATGGCCATAGGTGTCATGACTAGGATAGAAGACCTGAATACTGTGAGGCTTGTGTTTTCTTCAAACATTCGTCTTATCGCTCTAAGAATACATAGCACAAGAAACAATTTTTCTCATGCAATATTTTCTTCTGTTTTGAAATGTTGTAACATAACTTCTACGATATAATAAGTGTTTGAATCAAGTAATTCTAGTCATTTTTGTAAGAAACAGGAAGTTTTTTTACTTTTTCTAAATGTAAATAATGATGTCTTTGTGTAATTGCTAGCAAGTTTTGCCATTGGTTGATTAGGTGCTGGGCCAAACTCAGGACCACCGCCACCGTGTTCTGGTGGCGGCTGCCAAAAATATCAAAGTCTGGTCCATCAAGGTGAGGAAGATCAAGGCCATCTACCACACCCTGAACATGTTCAACCTGGATGTCACCCAGAAGTGTTTGATTGCTGAGTGCTGGTGTCCAGTCTCTGACCTGGACCGCATCCAGCAGGCGCTACGTCGGGGGACTGTAAGAACCTTCTCACTGCAACTTTTTAAAATCTGATCATTGCTTTCCCTGCTGCTACTTTACTTGTTGGTTTATTTGGAATTCAGTTTAACCACTTTTTCATTTTGTCTAGAATTATAGAAATATTCAAAATGCAATTTTCTTTTTAAATAAAAACTAGGAGGGAAATGAAATTTTGCCAATAAAAAAAAAAAAATATTTAATTATACTTTTTGACAAATTTTATTGCCAGAACATATGTTGTATGATCTGTGTTCTTGCAGGAACGAAGTGGCAGCAGTGTCCCCTCCATCATCAACCGCATGCAGACACGTATGGTCCCCCCCACCTACAACCGCTGCAACAAATTTACCCAAGGTTTTCAAAACATAGTCGATGCTTATGGTGTCGCTTGCTACACTGAAATTAATCCAGGTAAGCCAAACTCACGGTAAAATTTCAACTGTTTAAAAAATTTTAAATCAATATAATACATCATAATCAATTTGAGCTTTTTGAAGTGTTTAAAATTATTTCCAATGATGACAAACTAATCCCATTTCTCTGCTTCCAGCTCCGTTCACGTGTATAACATTTCCATTCCTGTTTGCCGTGATGTTTGGTGACATGGGCCATGGCATGATTATGTTTCTGTTTGCTTTGTTTTTGGTGCTCAAAGAAAAGGCTTTAGAAGCAAGGAAGAACCAGAATGAGGTGACCTTCTTTGTTAAAATATTTTTCAAATGTTCAGGGAAAAATTGAGTTTATGATGTAGCTGTAAAAGATTGTATTCGCTTGAACCCTGAAAACTTGAGTTGAGAACTGCATTGATTTTTGTACTAATTTCAAATTTACAGTTGTAAATGTAAAAGAAAAAAGATTGAAGTGTAGTTTGTACATGTATTTGATAACTATGCCTGTTGACCCCTGAACTATAGAAAGTGACTTGTTACAGATCTTTGGAACCTTCTTTGGGGGTCGCTACATCATCCTGTTGATGGGAGCATTCTCCGTGTACACTGGGTTCATTTACAACGACATCTTCTCCAAACCTTTCAACTTCTTTGGTAGCCAGTGGAGCCTGAATAAAACGTATGTTGTGCTCACCCAACCTTTGCCATCTTCACATCATTTGTAAATGTATCCTTACTTTCTATACTTTAGTATTCTTAAACATTTCTCCTATTTAAATAGTTTTTCAAACCAGTTTAAAGAATTTTATAATAAAAAACAATATTTAGTTCAGGTAACTTAAAAGTGAAATTTCTCTGTAAGAATATGGAGAGCTACTACCCCTCTCTGTATACTTAAAGCTAGATCCACCAATCAGTGCATGTAAAAACACATGGTTTCCATCTCCAGAGATCCAAGATATCCCCCTCTCTGTATACTTAAAGCTAGATCCACCAATCAGTGCATGTAAAAACACATGTTTCCATCTCCAGAGATCCAAGATATCTGGTAGTCTCTCACTCAGACAAGCCCTACTTGCTACAACTTGACCCCAAGTTCACTGCACTGGGGGACACATATCCTATAGGAATGGACCCGGTCAGTATACATAACTCATTTTGAAATTCTAAAAAATATGGTATGATAGTTTACTAAATGAAAAAATTGATTAAAATGCTAAATATTTGATTGATTAGTTACATTTGGTACTGATAAACTTTGTGATGAGTTGGGTGTGTGATTTCTTCACCCCTCAGCTGTGGCAAATGTCTGACAACAAGATAGCCTTCACCAATTCTCTCAAGATGAAGATGTCTGTCATCCTTGGAGTCTCACAAATGTTTTTTGGTATCATCCTCGGCTACTTCAACCACCGGTAATTGTCTGTTTGTATTGTCACATTATAATTTTGTATTGTCACATTATAATTTTGTGTTTGTATTGTCACATCATTTTGTATTGTCACATTATAATTTTGTGTTTGTATTGTCACATCATTTTGTATTGTCACATTATAATTTTGTATTGTCACATTATAATTTTGTATTGTCACATTATAATTTTGTATTGTCACATTATAATTTTGTATTGTCACATTATAATTTTGTATTGTCACATTATAATGTTGTATTGTCACATTATAATTGTCTATTTGTATTGTCACATTATAATTTTGTATTGTCACATCATTTTGTATTGTCACATTATAATTGTCTATTTGTATTGTCACATTATAATTTTGTATTGTCACATCATTTTGTATTGTCACATTATAATTATCTATTTGTATTGTCACATTATAATTTTGTATTGTCACATCATTTTGTATTGTCACATTATAATTGTCTATTTGTATTGTCACATCATTTTGTATTGTCACATTATAATTTTGTATTGTCACATCATAATGTTGTATTGTCACATCATTTTGTATTGTCACATTATAATTTTGTATTGTCACATTATAATTTTGTATTGTCACATTATAATTTTGTATTGCCACATTATAATTTTGTATTGCCACATTATAATTTTGTATTGTCACATTATAATTTTGTATTGTCACATTATAATTTTGTATTGCCACATTATAATTTTGTATTGTCACATTATAATTTTGTATTGCCACATTATAATTTTGTATTGCCACATTATAATTTTGTATTGTCACATTATAATTTTGTATTGTCACATTATAATTTTGTATTGCCACATTATAATTTTGTATTGTCACATTATAATTTTGTATTGTCACATTATAATTTTGTATTGTCACATTATAATTTTGTATTGTCACATCATAATTTTGTATTGTCACATCATAATTTTGTATTGCCACATTATAATTTTGTATTGTCACATAATTTTGTATTGTCACATTATAATTTTGTATTGTCACATTATAATTTTGTATTGTCACATCATAATTTTGTATAGCCACATTATAATTTTGTATTGTCACATAATTTTGTATTGTCACATCATAATTTTGTATTGTCACATCATAATTTTGTATTGCCACATTATAATTTTGTATTGTCACATAATTTTGTATTGTCACATTATAATTTTGTATTGTCACATTATAATTTTGTATTGTCACATCATAATTTTGTATTGCCACATTATAATTTTGTATTGTCACATAATTTTGTATTGTCACATTATAATTGTCTGTATGTTTTGTGACATCACTGAGAAAATTTTATAAGAATTTTTTTCATAATTTTGTTTTAATAATAGTGTTTTAAGAACTATCTATTGTGTAATTTCATTTAAATTACTGACCATGGTGTAATTAATGTAAAACAGTTATAATGTGTGTGATTGATGAGTTAAAACTAAAAAATTCTAATCGGTGCACTGGTATTGTACCAAATTATTTCAAACTAGTATCCTGCTGGTACCATTTTAGTGAGATAAGAATTATTGCTCAGACATTTTTGGGACAGCCACTTCAAGAAACCACTGAACATCATCTTTGATTTCATTCCCATGATGCTCCTCCTGTTGTGTCCACAGCCACTTCAAGAAACCACTGAACATCATCTTTGATTACATTCCCATGATGCTCTTTCTGTTGTGTCCACAGCCACTTCAAGAAACCACTGAACATCATGTTCATTCCCATGATGCTCTTCCTGTTGTGTCCACAGCCACTTCAAGAAACCACTGAACATCATCTTTGATTTCATTCCCATGATGCTCTTCCTGTTGTGTCCACAGCCACTTCAAGAAACCACTGAACATCATGTTCATTCCCATGATGCTCTTCCTGTTGTGTCCACATCCACTTCAAGAAACCACTGAACATCATGTTCATTCCCATGATGCTCTTCCTGTTGTGTCCACAGCCACTTCAAGAAACCACTGAACATCATGTTCATTCCCATGATGCTCTTCCTGTTGTGTCCACAGCCACTTCAAGAAACCACTGAACATCATATTTGAGTTCATTCCCATGATGCTCTTCCTGTTGTGTCCACAGCCACTTCAAGAAACCACTGAATATCATGTTCATTCCCATGATGCTCTTCCTGTTGTGTCCACAGCCACTTCAAGAAACCACTGAACATCATGTTCATTCCCATGATGCTCTTCCTGTTGTGTCCACAGCCACTTCAAGAAACCACTGAACATCATGTTCATTCCCATGATGCTCTTCCTGTTGTGTCCACAGCCACTTCAAGAAACCACTGAACATCATCTTTGATTTCATTCCCATGATGCTCTTCCTGTTCTGCATGTTTGGCTACCTGATCATCCTGCTGTTTGTCAAGTGGACCAAGTATCCATCCACAGAGTCCCATGAAGCTCCCAGTCTGCTCATAGGTTAGCCTTGTCTGATTATTTTCCTTGTTATATGCTTAGACTGATCAGTTAAAACCTTTGAAGATTCTATAGTCTCTGGTATGTCACAAATTGTCTAATTCCAAGTCCAAATTGCTTTAATAACAGGATTAAACCACTTCTAAACTTTGATGAGATTTCAGAGAGGATTTTTTTTTATCATAGCGCAATAGCTGAATGAATTAATAAGGGTAGATCAAAGGAAAAATTAGCTACTTTTACATGTCTATGATTTTAAATCATTGATAATGCTTTTTTTGGACAGTTTTTTAATGTTTATGTCAGGTTCAATTATTCTGGCAATGATTGTAAAAGTAAATAGATTAATTGGGACATCATCAATCTGTATACCCCTGAAATTACAGTAAACATTGAAAATTTAACTTCCACTTATTAAAATCTGAAGATGTTCTATGTCTAGTTGAATACAGGTTTAAGAATTGAGTTACCTAAGAGCTGTCCGCAAATGAAAAGTAACAATGTCCCATATCTAACTCCCCAGGTCTAAGAGACCTGTTTGACTAAAAGCTGTCAGTAAATGAAAACTAACAATGTCCCATATCTAACTCACCAAGTCTAAGTGACCTGTTTGACTAAAGCTGTCCACAAATGAAAACTAACAATGTCCCATATCTAACTCACCAAGTCTAAGTGACCTGTTTGACTAAAAGCTGTCAGCAAATGAAAAGTAACAATGTCCCATATCTAACTCACCAAGTCTAAGTGACCTGTTTGACTAAAAGCTGTCAGAAAATGAAAACTAACAATGTCCCATATCTAACTCACCAAGTCTAAGTGACCTGTTTGACTAAAAGCTGTCCGCAAATGAAAAGTAACAATGTCCCATATCTAACTCACCAAGTCTAAGTGACCTGTTTGACTAAAAGCTGGGGTCAGGGTGGTCGAGTCTGTAAAGCTCATGGTTGCTAAACCGAAAAGTCTCGAGTTCGAACCCTCAGGTAGATGAGGCTCGTTAGCTGGGGACAGCCACTCTTCTAGGAGAGACAACTCCGAAATCAAACTACTGCTGCCTTGTAGTTTGTACTTGGTTGGACAAAGGCTATGGAAGCAAATCCAAAAAGAAAAGCAGGCTGAAATTGGAGTCAATGGCCTCAATGGCGCATAACCAGTTGACACCTATCCTTAATTGTGATGGAGGCGTGGTCGAGCCGGCAAAAGCTCATAGTTGATAAATTCATACCCTCTGGCAGATAAGGCTCGATACCTTCCAACACTAAAAATTAAGAATGAAGAAGAAGAAGAAAAGAAGACTAAAAGGTGTCAGCAAATGAAAACTAACAATGTCCAATATCTAACTCCCCAGGTCTAATCGACATGTTTCTGTTCAACTACGGCAAGTATGTATCACCTGGCTCACATATAACAGGTGATCAAAAGCAGTTTATTTACTCTGGCCAGGTGAGTTCCCTAAACAGCTGGTCAGTTACCTCACAGTAATGGCTCTGGTAATTCATGCAGAATATGTTCTTCATTTATTTTAAGCTTATTACATAAAGAATATTTTGTACCAATAACACAATGAAAATTTTTACTTTTTGTCATATCTCTATCTAATGTAGATTTTAATTTATTTATTTTTAAATCAAATTTGTTTAAAGGATAGACTAACTATTTTCCTGTTGTAAAAAATTTAGCATATATAACTTTTGTGTTAATTTTGTGTGTATCAAAGCTGTAGAAAGTATTAATGTTATTTGTTTGAATTGAATCCCAACTCTATGTTATTTGCTTCCCAACTGTAGCAAGGACTTCAGAGTTTCCTGGTCGTGATAGCTGTTCTCTGTGTACCTTGGATGATGCTAGGAAAACCATTTTACCTGCGATACATCAATAAATATGGACAGGTTTGTTTATGTTTTGTATCTCTAATTTTACCTGTGATACATATATATCAATGGATATGGACAGGTTTGTTTATGTATAGTATCTCTAATTTTCCCGGCGATACATCAATATATAAGGACAGGACTGTTTATTATCTATAATTTTACCTGAGATACATCATTATATATGGACAGGTTTGTTTAATACCAAGGAATGATGAAATTATTTGCTCCATATTTTGAAATCTTTTTCTTACTAATATTTTTAAATGCTGCCAAATATTTTTTTTAAATTTGACTCATGTTTGCTCACTTGATGGCCATTTATAAATATTTTTAAATATTTCTTTTCTAGTAATGTCCCTTAATTTTAAATTTTACTTTAACATTATATTTTGTCCTGTTCTGGTATTATTCTTGTTGAACATTTTGTTTAGTCATGTTCCTACTGCCTGCTGTAGCTGTTGTTCCCATGTTCCCACTGTGCTGAATGTTGTTCCGATGTTCCCACTATAGCTTGTGCTCAATGTTTTACCCATCCTGTTGTTCCCACTGTGTTGAATGTTGTTCCCATGTTCCCCCTGTAGCTTGTGCTCAATGTTTTACCCATCCTGTTGTTCCCATGTTCCCACTGTGCTGAATGTTGTTCCCATGTTCCCGCCGTAGCTTGTGCTCAATGTTTTACCCATCCTGTTGTTATCAGGAAGTACCAAAGAGCCAGGAGGAAGAAGATGAAGAAGTAATGTTTATAAACCTGACTATCAGAGCCAGTACTAATGGCTCATCTGCTACTAACAGCAGTAACACTAGCTCTAGTGAGGTGACAGTTAACATTAGATCAGTGCATGGGGAGATCAGTTTTTATTCAGTTTGCACAGACCATCAATACCCAGATATATTTATTTAGAGGCTACTGTTTGCACAGACCATCAATACCCAGATATATTTATTTAGTGGCTACTGTTGGCACAGACCATCAATACCCAGATATATTTATTTTATTGCTTTGTTTATTTGAATGAGAAAGCAAGATATTAAACAGAATACCAATATATATTTCTCTCTAGATACAATTTTCAATACCTCGTTGGGCAAGTTGTTTTTTTTTTAATTCTAATTTAAAATCTGAACAAAGTGTATCAATATAGAAAAATGTGAACATAGTGTATCAATATAGATTTCTATTAACACCACACTGTAAACTTTTCTCACATGGACTAAAACTCTGAACTAATTTAATCATGAGTCACTCACAATTCAACAGTCAAAGATATCATTGACAAAAACAAACTCGTTCAACGTGTCAATCAAAAAGTGGTGGTAGTATTTAATATTGTCGGCAGCTTTCTTTAGGATTATGTTAGCAGTTTAATCATGTGAGGGCTAGATGAAATGATATGTATTGTTTTAGAAACAAAATCTAGATTTGTAAATATCTGACATAGAAGGTTTGTATAACAGCATTTAAATTAGCATTGTGGAGACGGGAATGGGCTGTTTCTTGGTCAAGGTACTTTGTTTGATTTGATTGAATTTGTGATGCAAACTAACACTGATCTATCTGTCTCAAAGACTTGAAACTTTTTTTTCCCCAAAAAACTAACCCTTAGACAAGCAAAGAAATTAACATTAGAATAGAAATATACATACTTGTAAATAATATTTTAGCATTCTACATCTGTGATTTAATAATCAAGAAAAACTTTTCTAAATATATGTCTAAAAAATATTTTTTTAACTTATTTTTCTAATGCTAAGAAAATATTAACTAAATTTCGTTTTCTTATTATATATTTTTATAAACATAAAGTTTGGTATTAATTTTATTATAATTTGAAAGTATCTGTAATTTTCATTTTATGATGTGTTGTTTTTTTTTTAATTTTTTTTTTTTTTTTTAAATTGACTATTTAGGTAGTGGTCAATCTAGCATCTTGTGTTTTGAATCTTCCATAATTTGAATGATACGAAGATTATTGTAACAAAATGTTTTCTATTTAGGTCATTTGTTTTATTTTGTATCTTTCTTTAAAATATTATTAAAAATCTTTTTGACCTAATATTTAATGGGTCAGATAAGGTAGATTGATAAAAATGTGATAAAATGTGATAAAACATGTGATTCTCCTGTCCCCAGTAAACACATGTACAGTTTAAAAAATGTGATAAAACATGTGATTCTCCTGTCCCCAGTAAACACATGTACAGTTTAAAAAATGTGATAAAACATGTGATTCTCTGTCCCCAGTAAACACATGTACAGTTTAAAAAATGTGATAAAACATGTGACTCTCCTGTCCCCAGTAAAACACGTGCACAGTTTAAAAAATGTGATAAGACATGTGATTCTCCTGTCCCCAGTAAACACATGTACAGTTATAAAAATGTGTTTCTCCTGTCCCCAGTAAACACATGTACAGTTTAAAAAATGTGATAAAACATGTGATTCTCTGTCCCCAGTAAACACATGTACAGTTTAAAAAATGTGATAAGACATGTGATTCTCCTGTCCCCAGTAAACACATGTACAGTTTAAAAAATGTGATAAAACATGTGATTCTCCTGTCCCCAGTAAACACATGTACAGTTTAAAAAATGTGATAAAACATGTGATTCTCCTGTCCCCAGTAAACACATGTACAGTTTAAAAAATGTGATAAAACATGTGATTCTCCTGTCCCCAGTAAACACATGTACAGTTTAAAAAATGTGATAAAACATGTAACTCTCCTGTCCCCAGTAAAACACATGTACAGTTTAAAAAATGTGATAAAACATGTGATTCTCCTGTCCCCAGTAAACACATGTACAATTTAAAAAATGTGATAAAACATGTAACTCTCCTGTCCCCAGTAAAACACATGTACAGTTTAAAAAATGTGATAAAACATGTAACTCTCCTGTCATCAGTAAAACACATGTACAGTTTAAAAAATGTGATAAAACATGTGATTCTCCTGTCCCCAGTAAACACATGTACAGTTTAAAAAATGTGATAAAACATGTGATTCTCCTGTCCCCAGTAAACACATGTAAAGTTTAAAAAATGTGATAAAACGTGACTCTCCTGTCCTGAGTAAACACATGTACAGTTAAAAAAAATGTGATAAAACACATGTACAGTTTAAAAAATGTGATTCTCCTGTCCCCAGTAAACACATGTACAGTTTAAAAAATGTGATTCTCCTGTCCCCAGTAAACACATGTACAGTTTAAAAAATGTGATAAAACATGTGACTCTCCTGTCCTGAGTAAACACATGTACAGTTAAAAAAAATGTGATAAAACACATGTACAGTTTAAAAAATGTGATTCTCCTGTCCCAAGTAAACACATGTACAGTTTAAAAAATGTGATTCTCCTGTCCCCAGTAAACACATGTACAGTTTAAAAAATGTGATAAAACATGTGATTCTCCTGTCCCCAGTAAACACATGTACAGTTTAAAAAATGTGATAAAACATGTGACTCTCCTGTCCCCAGTTCAAGCACCAACCCCTGTCAGTCAACAGTGGAGATCTGCTGGGTGGGGAGGAGGTGGTCCACAACCTGGAGACCAACGGCCCCTTACACACAGAGGAGGGGGTGGAGGAGGAGGTAACTACACATGTCTTTGCTGGTTTTAGGTTTAAAGACTGCAGATGTTGTTCTGATGTTTAAAAGATCCACAGTATTTTGGTTTTTGTGTAACGTTTTTTTTTTTTATTTATCTTAATTTTTTTTTTATTATCTAATTGTTGTATTTTATAATATAATTTATACTATTTATCAACCTTTAAATTTCTTCAATTATTTATTTTTTGTATATTAAGAAGAAATATGTGTATATATATATATATATATATATATATATATATATATATATATATATATATATATATATATATATATATATATATATATATATATATATCACATCTCATGATTTGTTGTTATTTTTTTATTTCCTCAGCATTTCAATTTTAGTGAAACTTTTATCCATCAAGTCATCCACACCATTGAGTTCTGCCTGGGCTGTATTTCTCACACCGCCTCGTACCTGCGTCTCTGGGCTCTCTCCCTTGCACATGCTCGTAAGTCTAACATTTTTGTCCTGTAAGTGTAACATTTTTGTCCTGTAAGTCTAACATTTTTTGTCTCATTAGACTTAAAGAACACTTTTGTTTATCACTAGTCATCTACCAAAATATTCATTGCTTTATTTGTTCTTGGATAGGTTAGAATTTCTTAGACCTAATAGGCAGATAACTCTGGTGATTCAGACCATCCAAGTATCCGACTCAGTTCATATATCTCTCTAAATTCTGATTATCAAATGCGAAAACAGCTTTCAAAAGTATTTTTCTAGTTTTACTTCATCATGAAATGAGGGGGTGGGGGAAATTACAACACTGATGTTTAGATTTTTAACTGCTAGTTTTGCTGTTTGAACAGCATACATGTAACAGTTACCTTTGATTGACAGAACTTTCTGAGGTCCTCTGGCAGATGGTGCTGCGGATTGGCTTTGGTTTGCCCTACCCTTGGGGAGGCTTTGCTCTGGTGGTGGTCTTCCAGATCTGGGCTGGCATGACCGTGGTCATTTTAGTTCTCATGGAGGGGTTGTCTGCCTTCCTTCATGCTCTTAGGCTCCACTGGTAAGTAAACAATTAGGGGAAGTTACTCTAGGCTCTATTGGTAAGTAAACAATTAGGGGAAGTTATGTTTAGGCTCCACTGGTAAGTAAACAAATAGGGGAAGTTACTCCTCCACTGGTAAGTAAACAAATTGGGGAAGCTACTCTTAGGCTTCATTGGTAAGTAAACAATTAGGGGAAGCTACTCTTAGGCACCACTGGGAAGTAAAAGCTAGTAAAACCTAAAGGCATCTTGGGCTAGTTTGTTAAACAATCTGTTGACTATTAAATATTTCACACTTTAATGTATTTATCTGCCCAATCAGTTTATGTTTTGTTTCTTATCTTGCTCAGGGTGGAGTTTCAGTCCAAGTTTTATGATGGCACAGGGCACTTGTTCACCCCCTTCTCCTTCTCTAACCTTGTGGACACAGGTTTAGAGGACTGACCACCTGATGATGACCAGTACTTGTTGTAGTGATTAAGTGTATAGAGTAGACAAGAACCTTGTTGTTTTAAATGGTCTGTGATTTTTCTTATGGTTTTAAGCTTGTTTGATTCACGTACCAAAACTTCATTGGGTTTAACTAATTTTGTCATTAATTTTATTATTCTTTTGATATTTTTTTTCCTTATTTATTTATTGTAGAGAATGAAATTGACAGTTGTTTATCCTCATCCATGGCTTATGGCTTGACATTAACCACACAAAAATTACCTCAGTGATGCATAAGGTTTAGATATTCTCCAGTGCTATTCATGCAGCAGCTGACAGACTATTTTAAAATTTTGTTTTGAATTTAACATGACTTCCATCTTGACTGGATATTTAGAGGTCTACTAAGTTTCACTGTAGCAAAAAGATAACTCCGGTGTTTTAAATAGAATACTTAACATTAGGAACTTGCTGTGCATTAAATCATAATTGAATTATCAATCATTGCTGTATAAAACCTCCATTTAGGTAGAAAATCTACTAAATAGATATTCAATTATGCTATATTAATCATTAGTCATGTTTCTTTGATTCAAGTTTTACTTCTTTAAATTCTTATTTAATTGATTTTTTAAAATTAGTACAGATATTTAATTATTACAGAAGAGCTATTGTATATATTATTGGATCTGACTACATAGAATTTTTGTCTAAACCTTGATTCAACTCTCACATGTAACCTATGCCAGATAACTTAATTTTGTTTGCTTACCTTATCAAGCATTCGCTTTAGATATTTATCTGAGTTTATTTTTTATTATATTAATTATTTTATAAAATGACTATGGCCTAAAAAAGTTTATTAGACATCTTAAGTTAAATAGATCTAGCAATCCTGGGCTTAACAGCAAGATCGGTTTTATTACCTATAAAAACTGGCTTCTGGGTTAATTTTAAAAATTAATTGAAGAACTTAAATACTGCCTATTTGATAATTATTTAATGAATGCCAGAATTTATGTTTGTTTATTCTTGAATTTTTGTTTTAACACACTATTAGTATAGGACTGTCATGGGACATTACCATGTTAATAATTCATGTTGTCTACAGTTAATTGGTTACAGTCAGCTAAACATTTTTTTCCTGTAATGAATTAATGTTCCTTTCCAACTTTTGTTGATTATTTACAAGTGTAAATGTAAAATCTATTTTTAGAAAGAAATGTTGTTTTCTGTTGCAACAAATTTAAGAGATGCTCATTAACTGGACTAACATGTTTGAGGGATGAAAATGAACTGACAAGTTGTAAGAGATATTCCCTGTCATCTGGCCATCTGTTCTTTTAACCTAAAAGATATTTGTCTACAAATGTTTGTGAGTAGGACTACTGAGTGACTGAAAGATTTTCTTCAACATGTTTGGTTTACTTGTACACTTCAGTTTCTTTTTGTAAAATCACAAGAATTTTGTCATCCATAGGACCACATGTACTTGAAGCCAATTAGGTTTTCTGACATTGAACTACAGTGGCAGAGTTTTGCTTTTTTAATAACCTACAATAAATGAGAGCTAGTCACTAGGTAGATCATAACCACTTCTAAAATTTGGTTTGTAAGATTGTGTGCAATTTTATTTTCTCTTACTGATATTCAGCTCAAGCTTTTATTTTGTATTACCTGCATTTGATTTCTCTTTATGAGTAACTTGCATTCATTGTGGGCTCTGTTATGTGATCTCATGTCAATCTTGTCAAGGGAAATAACTAAGATTAATCTTTCAAGGGAAACTACTGTACATTTTAAATTTGGGGAGCTAACAAAAGAGAGGAAGCTGTTTTAAAAGAATTTATTTCTTGTCGCATCTTTATTTAATTGTTACAAGTTTAATTATCAATAGTTTATCTTGTGTTATTTCTAAACATTCAAACCTTTTATGTACCATTCTACTGTTGAATTCATGTTTTATTTTATAGCTTTAGACTGTACCCAGTATTGATTTGTTTTATCTAAATCTACTGTATTGTGAATATATTTTTTGTTTAACTTAGTTCATTTAAGACTGTGGGAGTTGTAATAAAACCAACCTAAGCACCTACTCTTCATTGCATTTTAGTTCATTGTATAGCACAATAAATTAAAACTATTTAGCACATGTAAAGATGAATTCCATCCTAGTGTATTATATATTTAACTGATCCTAGAACTTACATCTATTAAAGTGTCAGCTGTGTGTAGGTCTGTGCTGCTTTAAAATCATTTGTGACAACTAACCATGGCTTCATCACTAATGTTTTTGTTTGAGTCAGTTGTTGCTTGCTACAGTTTGGATCACTGAAATCACATAAGGAACTATTACAATTAAAAATTTTACCGTTTGTTTTTTTAAAATCAATATATATATATATATCACATCTCCACATTTTTGCTAATTATCAAGTAATTTACAGTAGCTGATATGTTTCAGTATGTTATAAGACATGACTGGTTTTCTCAAGAATATTTAATTTTTGCAGTTTATTAATTTATTACCTGTTTGACAATGTTATAGACCAAGCAAAATTTGTTTAAATTGATGTTTGATGGCACTTGTTTAGTATCCTGTGTAATAGACAGTTACTGTGAGCTAGCAATGAAATCTTTAGTTACCCTTTTGTTGCAGGCTTGTGTAAAGATGTAGAACTGGTGTAGCAACCTTTGTTGGTGCCAAATTTTTGTACATTTGTGTTCATTGTTTAATTCCATGGTTTTAAATAAATTGGTGTAAGCAACATTTGATGTGTATTTTTCTGGTATGTGTTTGATGTGTATTTTTCTGGTATGTGTTTGATGTGTATTTTTCTGGTATGTGTTTGATGTGGATTTTTCTGATAGTGGTCCAGTGGTAGAGAGATGGACTGTAGACCATCCCTGATGGGTACCTAACTCACGTTAGGGAAAGTAAAAGCGGCTGGGCATAGTGCTGACCACACTATCTCTTCAGATGCCGAGGTCACAGAAACAAGTGAATTCTACTTCACTTGCCCTATAGACCGTCAGGTTTGAAAAGGGAACTTTACTTTTTTTTATCTGTATTTATAAAATTTGTCCCTCTGTATATAAGCCGTGATGGAAACAGACCACCTAAAACTCATTAACCTTATTTCTAACAACTTATTGAACATGTTTCTTTCTATTAAAAAAAAAATGTTTAAAGCTTCATCAGTTTTTTTGTTGAAAAAAATCAATATAAATCAAGCAATAATTAATAATAGTACATTTATCATTTTAAAACATTTTATTTTATACATACTTGATTCAACTTTTAATATTTAATAAGTTATTACCAAAAATAAATCAATACAGCAACTATGCTAGTACCATTGCAAGGTATGCATACAGATTGTGCTATTGTATTAGCGTTTTAACTTGTATTAAATTTTTTGTTGCCATTCACACAGGGTGAGGGGGTGGGGCAGATCTGAAGTTCTGCTTTTTGATTGGACAACTGCTATGGTTGTATGGCTTTCAGTATACATGCTGGTACTGCCAGCAAAGATAAAAACCATCAAACTGGCTAATGTCATGAGAGATAAAAATAGTTCTAAACAATCATGATAAATGTCAGTTTCATGTTTTTAGTTAGGATTTCATATCATAAAATAATGAACACATTTAGGAATTGCAAGTTATAAATTAAAATGTATAATTGTATTCATTTTCAAAACATTTATAACAAAGTAAAGTGTATACAGATTCTGCTTCTAAATGAACCGTAAAAAGTTGAAATATAGGTATTAAATATTTTTTTATGGAGAAAAGTATCAAATTATCCATCCCATTTTAATAAATTCAATGTAACAAACAAAACCCAATACCCAATTAAAAAAACAGGTGCCCTCTTAGGTAACAGAAAGTAAATAGATGGTGATGTAAAATAAACTGATTAAAACTTGAGATTAAAACATACATGTGTTAAAATATTTGAAAAACAAATTATTTTAATAGTAATAATAATAGTAATACAAGATCAATGGAAATAACAATTCCAGTTGATAAGGAAAACTATGTCAATCCAAATTTGGTTGACTATCACAGTAAAGTTTTTTTTTTAACTTTTAGAATACTTGAGACAAAAAAATTTTATAAAAAAAAAACATGAATTAAAATACATTTATACAGCTGTTATTTTTTTTTAAAATTAAATATACTAGACTGTTGCAAATTGAAACTAATTAACACTTATTAAATATTTAAACAAAAATACATCACAGAAAATAGCTTATTGAAAAGTAACCCTAGCGTAAAATATGAAACCATTTGAGGCTAAAAACATTCAAGATCTCTTTGTGTCTTGAAGAGAATCGAATTCTGAGCATTTTTAGACTAACCAATGGAAGAGAGAAATTACAAAATACTGCTGAAATACAAGCTTAGCTCCAAGTACAACTTAAATAAAAAATCATCAAAATAATGTATAAACCAACAAAATTGCTTTTCATTTAGAAAAACTACAATCAGTAATAACAAAACTATTACCTTTGTTCTTCTTCAGCAAATATAAGAAAAACATTTCCCTGAGTAGAGTTTTTTATATTTTTAAAAATGACATTGCTTAAATGTATCATTTGAGTATGATAAAAATTAAAACAGTCCAGCAAGAATTCACAATAGATCTGCTTCTAATACCACTCAAGAATGAAGCTAATACTTGTGAGCTTCTGACTATTCCAGCAGGGTATGTTATTACAATCTTTACAAGTACACTTTTATCTTGGAGTGAAATGTCCAAATTTTTAAAACATTCAATCTGATATTAGAAGAATTTTGGTGTATTTTCCCGCAAGAGATTTTCTTTCAAACTTTTTGCTGAGCAGTTGATGGAGACTGCTTGGAAGTTAGTCTGTTTTTTAATTAATGACAGCATGTTTGTCTGTCTCTTGATACATGACAGCATATTTGTCTTTCTGCTGGTACATGACAGCACATTTGTCTGTCTCTTGATGTATGACATGTCTGTCTGTCTCTTAATAGATGACAGCATGTCTGTCTGTCTCTTGATAAATGACATGTCGGTCTGTCTCTTGATTCATGACAGCATGTCTGTCCATCTGATAATGAGACGCAGTCTGTGACCAAATCTAATGAGTGGGGTGAACAGACAGGTTTCTCTCTGCCCTTCTGAGTTTTTGTAACTCTTGGTCTGGGCTGTCCATGCGTAGATTTATAAACATTTTTCCTTGTAAGTGAAACTTTATCACAGGATTTGGTTCTGGACTTACCCCACCTGACCACCGGTCCTGTCACTAAGGTTTGAGAACCTCTGCTCTCACTAGCCTGTCGCTTCTGGTCAAGAAATTTTTTCAACACGCTTTCTTCCGTCTTGTTGAAATCTTTTAAAAATGTCGCCAGCTGACGGTCATCTTGAGCCAGGTCGGCTGCGAGCAGGAAGCTGCGAACAGCTGGGACAAACACTTTAGGGTCGGAGGTCAGCTTGGATTCAAGGTCTGAGAGAAAAGAGAGGAGCTTCACTTTGAGTTTCTCTGCCTCGTCAGCCAGCAGGATGCTGTGGACAACTTCAGACGCCATGTTCTGTGTTTCAGCCTCTACTTTAGTTCTCTTGTCCATCCAGCGTTTTGTCGCGTGCCTCACATTCAGCTCTTTGGGCGTCTTTCTTTTCTTACGTGTGGTATTTTTTTCAGTGTTGCAGTTATTTTTAGGAGAAATCATTTCATTTCTACCCACATCCTGAGAATTTAATTGAGGTGTCAATTTATTACTACCCACAAGAGAATTTAATTGAGATGTCAATTTATTACTAGCCACATCATGAGAACTAATCTGTGGCTGTAGAACTGTGTTGGGCCTTACTGCCTGCACATTTGACCATGAGTGTTGAGGGTTTTCCAACAAGTCAAACTCATCAGAAGCTTGAGCCACAGGGTGAGCTGACTGCTGCTCTATGCCCTGTGTGGTGTACTGAGTCTCTCCATTTTGGCAGGGTAAGATGGACACGACCACAAAACCAGGGTGAGAATCTGGCTGATTGCTGCCGTGAAAGCTTAAATTAGACTGGCTGGAAAGGTGTGGTGCCAGTAAGGCTTGGTTGGGCATGTTGAAGTTCTCCCACGTCTGTGGTGAGCTGAAGGGAACCATGCCAGTGTGAGCATCACCAAAGGACAAATTGTGCGTCATCACATGCTGACTCCTCATGTCAGTGTACACTGAATTGTGTGAGGCAATGCTGGGGTAATTCAGGGCTGTCTCTGCCAGTGTCTCTACATGGCTGTTTTGCTGCAGCATAGCTGGCTCTAGATTTTCTGCTGAACATTCAGAGGTTTGGGGTTGACATACAGGAAAGGTCTGCAACCCAAAGTTTTCTGAATGTGAAGTCTGGGGATTACATACAGGGAGGGTCGGCAGCTCAAGACCTTCTGGTTGTGAGGTGTGGGAACCACACACGGAGCGAGCCTGTGACTCTAGACTTTCTGGTGCGGCCCCTGCTGAGCTGACTGACTGTGAAAGTGTACCATTACAGGCAATGTCAAGCTGGTCTTTCCCTTCATGAATTGTTTTATTTACTGCTTTAACATTCACTTCAACGTTGTCATCTTCTCCACTCTCATTGTCCTCATCTTCAACTGTTCCTTCAGGTATATCCTGAAAGGCAATCCAATCTGGATTAGGATTATGCCTGGAAGACCTTTTCGTACTTGTTTTGGCTGACACACCTTTGCCATGAATCTGATAGTACAACCTGAAGAAATATTGGTAAGAGATTTTTAGTTAAATCACAAGGTTAGAGTCTTTGTATAAATTGTTACATTAGCTATACTATGTGTATTAAAAAGATATATTAATCTTATGTGCCATACAATCTCTACCAAGAAGATCCATGCAATTATAATCAGGACCAAACACTTGCCCAACAGATATGACATGGATTTGTACAATGGCCTTTTAAGAAAATCTGGCATGTACAGTCAGCATGTGTTCCAATAAATTGTAATAAAATTTTGGCTCTATTAATTAGGACATGTAAAAGTAATGTTCAGACAGGCAAAGTCCTCTCACCTGTAGGCTTTTGGCACATTGGGAACGAAGTAGCCATCACAGAGCACTTGTCTGTATTTCTCTGGGCCCAGGCTCTTGAGTAACTCATGCTTGTGTTTGTCCAGAGCATCCTTGGGTTTCATCCCCTGGCGGAACATCTCCAGAAACCTTTCTTTAATGCCCTCATTTAGCTTGCGTTTCTTTAAGACATCAGCTGTGTCTAGCGGGTGGTCATGCGTGTAAAAGAGTCGCACCACAGTTTTATACGTTGGCATGTGGTGGTCACTAAATCAATCAATAACAGATAAAGAATCAATCAAACAAACGATTTTAGTATAATCATTGTAATATTTTTTTAAGTCTTCATGAGTTTCAATATTATAAGAAAACATGTTTTGAAAAATACTTAGGAACCTAAGTGAATTAACCTAAATGTTATTTAACCATTAATGTCCCGTAACGCCCGCTGCCGCCCGACACCGTTAATGTCCCGTAACGCCCGCTGCCGCCCGCTTACAATAAGCATAGAAAAATTAAATTTGTTTCATTAAAATTTGGCCTACAAATCCTAATTTTTAACTAAACAGGAAGTCGGATGGTTTCAGCATCCTTTTCCGGTCTTGTAATTTCAATGGCGCTTTTGAAAGATAAAAAATAATAGTTTCTTTCTATCTCGAAATTTTCGACTCATCTGTCGTATTTTTAGTAGATTTAATATTAAAAATAAAAAAAATTAATGCCTCTAAACGTATCTAGGCATGTATTTTATGAATTATATATGTTAAACATAACCAAATTGATATTTAACTGTTAAATTCGATGCATAGTTGTTAAGACAAAAATAAATAAAGTTGACTACCGAAAATGACCTGTTTTGAATTTTCTCAGACATTTTTTATTTTTATACTGTACTTTTACCGAATATAATATATTCTATTTAATACTGTTGGAAAGCCAGGTTTATTCCCAACATTAAGCAGTACTTTTTATCTTAATTTTCAATTTCATTTAGACAAAAACAAATATTTTGTGAAACTATTCACTTGATCATACAGAGTTATGCTCCTTACATTGGGCCGTCATGGGTGGAGTTTTGGTAGAATGAATGGGACATTAATGGTTAAGAAGTAAAATGTTAGCTTTAACACCCAATAATGCAACTTTATCCAAGCAACTTACATAGTTTTCTTGAAATATTTTTTAATGTTGATAAACAAAATACTGTGACAATCACGGAACTTTGACTTCCTTGGGATTGACTTCTTACTTTTCCTACGATCAAAAAACTGGCATCTGTACTGTGCCTGTTAAAAAGACAAAATAAAATTTGAAAAATAAAATCTATATACACAGGATACTAAATACATGTAATGACGTGGTATTAAAATGTAGAATTGACAATCAAAAAGCTTAACTGCTATAGAAAAACATGATAAACTGGCAATCACAGACAACATTACCTTAAATACACTAACTCTTTCAACTTTTGGAAAGGTTTTATCTTTGACATGAGTGGTCAGAGACTTTTCTTCAAACAAGCGTTTCCACTCTAAGGCCTCCTCCTTTGTAGACAGAGTCATGCGCAGTGTTGCAAGAAATTTATCCTCTCTGTCAAGCTGCAGGTATTCACACAACTTGTACTCATACTCTTCAGGAAGTATTCTCTAAAATAAGGATTTATAATACAACCGTAATTTATAAGAATATTCTATGTTGTAAATTTTATTAAACAAAATAAGTAAAATTATGGGTAATGATCTTTAAAGCTGGGTAATAATAATGAGTATGATGTACATTACAGGCCTACTGATATCTAAACCCCTCAACTGTGTCTACATTTTTTTCCCACAAACAATAAAATATCAGCTGGCGATCACAGGAACAATATTCAGAGTTGGCTTATTTCTAATTTTCTTGGCATGGATCAACATAAAATTAAAAAAAAAATACATAAAAAACTCTGAGACATTCGTGACTGATGTACTTGTTTTGATGAAAACATTTGTTCTGACAAATTTCAAGAGAAGAAAAACCAAAGGCATAGAGCTAAAAAAATGTCCTGCAAATTGTTTAGGCCTAATTAATAGGCCTAATTATACTAACTAATTAATAGTAGGCACTAATAATTGTGTCTCACTAGTACTTTACTGTAATTCTACATCTAAATCTAGATCTTACTTACTAGCATTTTCTTTTTGCATTTTAATGCCTCGCCATTCAGGCTGCTCAGGGTCTCACAAAATTAATTCCCGTGTCCGTAAAATTAATTCCTGTGTCCGTATCTTTGTCATTTGGTCAGACATTTGTGAAATTAGTCTGTCTTATGTGTCTAGTCTAGCTACTACTAGCTAGTTACTAGCTAGTTGCTTAGCTACTCACTCAGTGACTACTCACTGCTAGTCACAGTACAAACACAAGTACTAGTAGGCCTACTTTTATTATTTAGTATATTTAAAGTATATTAACTATTATTAACTTTAGACTTAGGCCTACTTATTACTTAATAGTTTATAAGTTAATAGTAGGCCTACTTACTGTACTTACTTATTTACTATTATTTACTTTACTAATTCACTTATTCAATTAAAAACTACTTAAAAATAAACATTTCATATTCTGATTATTCATCTTGTGACTTGTAGATCTACTCTTGTACTTACTAATAATCGTGGGATATTTTTAATATCATATTTTCCACAGTTGCAAATGCATGAAGCTTTAGAAAATGGAAAGGTTGTTAGTGTTTTTCTTGATGCACTCAGTGAGTTTTCCGATACCAGATCAAGGCCTGCTTCGTCCATTTCAACAAAATAATAAATTTTATTATAATAAAATTATTGTTTATTAGTTGATGTGGTTCGGAGAAAACCGAAAACAAAAGTATTTAAAAAGTTAACCCGCACACAATACTAAATTATTACATATACAATTGTACATGCCTAAATGCCTATAATAATCATCCTCTTAATGCGTCATGGTTTTTGCTAAAAGTCATAAAGAAAAATCTAACAGCATAGTTCTTGATCTCGATGTGAATGTTGTTTGTCAAAGAGGTCGTCCATAAATGACGTCACACTCGTAGGGAGAGGGGGGGGTCCGTAATTTTGTGACGGTATGTGATGAGGGGGATGGGGAGGGGGGGTTCAGATTGTTTGACGTCACTTGTTTGCATTATAAAAAAGCAATGTTAGAAAACGAGTTTTAACTGTTATTTCGCGTTTTAGAAAACGGTTTTAATCAATTGTAATAGGAATTGATCAAAATACTCTATGTTGACAGAGTTCTGACAATTTTGAGGGGGGGGGGGGTTGTAGGCTGAGGTGTGACGTAATTTTAGGGGGAGGTAAAAAGCGTTTTAAAAAGCGTGACGTCATTTATGGATGACCCCAAAATACACAAATTAAATTTTAAAATAGGCTAGTGCCGCTTAGTTTTTGAGACCTCATGCGTAAGGTGTGGGTAATTATAAAACTGACGTCTCAACTTTTTGAAGGTTAACCTCTCCCACTTCTCATTGCTTGTCAAACCAGAGTTTCTTACAATCACCTCTTCGTGGAGTAGAAAGCATCTCTTCGTGGGGTAGAAAGTCTACCCCCCCCCCCCCCCCCCCCGAACGAAATGAAATTTATATAGAAAATACATACTTTTAACAGTGTCCGCCCCCCCCCCCCCTCCGAAGAAAGTCTACCGCCCCCCGCCCCCCGAAAATTTCAAGTGCCCCCCACCCCACCCCCACGGAGAAAAATGTCTGGAAGAAACACTGGCCCCCTATAAGCCGATATCAATTACTGCCCCCTTACAATCGTTCACTTACGCTTGTATACCCGTACTCGACCTTGGGATTATAATATTATAAACACACCGGGGTAAACTACACACCAGGGTGAACTCAACGCACACACGCACTCTCCTCTAAGTTATAGACTATTCTAACCTGATCTAATCTTACATCCAAATGACCCGTAACATACGTCGGTAAACGGAAAAAAAGTCACAGGAAAAAAAAACACAGAAAAAAAGTCACAGTTTTTGCTAGGAAAAAAAGTCACAGAAAAAAAGTCACAGTGGAAAAATTTTATCGGAAAAAAAGTCACAGAAATAAAGTCACAGAAAAAAAGTCACAAAAATATTTTTAGAAATATTTGTATTTATTTGTTTAGAATTGTAAAATTTTGTATGTTTATTGTTGTGGGTTGTATTTTTTGATAGCATAAATTATTTATAGACGTTAAAAGCAATATGGTTTATAACAATTGTAAGTATAAAAAAATATTCTAATATAATTTACACAACAATCTCAACATTTGTTACGTATTTAGTTAAAAACGCGGTAGAAAATTTAATTATAAAAGAAATTTAGGCAAATTTTGCCGTAGGCTATTCTCTGGTCGGCCTCTCCTCAGTAGGCATTGTCCGAACATATTTTGTGTTGTTGTCGTCATGCGTCAATGACAGCCTTTCAACCTTGTCGGCTTTCTGTTTTGATCCTAAGTTTTGTTATGTAATGAGCGTGAAAAATGTGGGCAGTAAAGGTGGTTGACCTAAACATAACTATTGTTGCCATGAGTTGAGGGCAGCAAGTCAGATGAACTTACCATTTCACGGTAATTTAATGTTGGTATTAAAAAAAAAACAGGATTAAAACCGTGGACTTTGGAGCATTCTATTAAACGCTACTAATCTTAGGTTTAACATAATTACAATCTACATACTTCATACTAAATATTTTTAGATGAATTATAAAAATTACTATGCGTATACAGCCTACACACATTACATTTAATTAATCCTAAGTTAATTTGCACTCTCTAAATATTTAATATACATAAAAGTATTAACAAGTATCATGCAAATATATATTTGTGACTTTTTTTCCTGTGACTTTTTTTCCTGTGACTTTTTTTCCTGTGACTTTTTTTCCTGTGACTTTTTTTCCTGTGACTTTTTTTCTGTTTTTTTTTTTTTCCTGTGTTTTTTTTTTCCTGTGACTTTTTTTCCTACAATCACATACATCATCACCAGTGTTTCTTCCAGGCTTTTTTTCTCTGGGTAGCGCTTGAAACTTTCGGGAGGGGGGGGGGGGGGCGTAGTAAAATTTCCGGGGGAGTGACACTGTTAAAAGTATATATTTTCCATATAAATTCCATTTCGAACGGGGCGGTAGACTTTCTTCGGAGGTGGGGACTATGAAGACAAAAAACGATGTGACAGATTGTGACTAATATATTGTTGGGGGGGGGGGGGCGTAAATTTGAAGGTTAGCTCAGGTATAACAGTATAAACGGCTCGGGATTATTTTGCATTATACAGGTTGTAGAGTCTATAATAACTCTATATCTAAAAGTAGCGTTTAAACGCATATTAGGTAGTTGTTTGTAAGCCTTTTGTTTGCTATCTTAAATCGACAAATGTTTGGGTGATTAAAAATTTCCCTTGACCTATATTTTTGTGCTACGTAGCTGTTTTGACCTACAACCTTTGACTCAGTCTTGACACCACAGCTGACAATTCTTACATCTCCAGCAACTTTGATTTCATGTAGAGATCTAATTTCAGAATGCGTTATATAAATAGAATAACTTGCTCAGTTTTGCATTACAAGGTAATTTATAGTCTAGCACAAACATTTTTAATATTTAAAATTTAAAAATAATAATTAATAATGGCTGCAGTGGAGTCTGTGAAAAAAGTGAGACACACAGCAGCCACAGCAGTGAGTTGACTTCGACTAGAAATACGAGAATTTTTTAGGCCTATTGAATATATTATATAATATTATTATAGATAGATCTAGATAAATCTACATCTATCTAGTCTAGATCTAGTAAGGCCTATCTAGATTTATATAATTTTATATTATTATATAATTTAATAAAATTTAGGCCATAGTAATTTATTAATGTAATATATTTAGTAATATTTAATAAAAAATAAACCGGAGTGATCTCCCCTAAACGTTCCCGAATATTCTTATATATATAACACTACGGGGGATGGGAACTTGGGATATAAAGATGATTATTAATCCATTTTTAATAACATAAACTTTTTACAATAGAATAGAATCTCGTAGGAAAAAAGAATTGCGCACCAAGTGAACGCCAAACAATATGTGTATAATAGTGCAGAATACTAAGGGTGTTGGGAAATTGCGGGACGCGAAAAGTGAAATGGCGAGGCGTTAAACTGCGAGAAGAAAATGCGAGACATACTTGCAGAATCACGGGTATACAGCGAGATATAATACTTATGTATGAAATTTCATCAACCTAGCTGTAACGGTACTCAAGTTATCGTGTTCACATACATACACACACACACAGACATACGGACAAAATTGCAAAATTATGTTTTTCTGACTCAGGGAGGTGTAAAACGTTGAGGTTCGTAGAAATCTTGAATTTTTTTTTTTTTGCATGATTACAATACTTCCTCTATAGGGCCTACTTCGTATACGAGAAAGTAAAAAGGCTAATAATATACGGTCTGAATAGTGTAATTGAGGAGACTAGTCTTGTAATAATAATAAATTTAAAATATGTCACTATCATTCATAGCCAACTAAACTCTAGTTACTACTACTGACCACTAGTTACAAAATTCAAAGTGTAGGGCCTTAGGAGTAGGGCCTCTGAAGTCTAACAATTGGTAAATTATTCAAATGAAGTTTGAATATGCCAACAAGATCTTTGAACTCACTTGTTTTGATCCTTGCTAATGAGTGATAGCGATTGTTCACTAGCAGTGCTAAGTGATGTCTTTATGATATCCAACTCTACTATAACATATATATATATATATATAGCCTAGACAAGACTATTAAATTAATTGAAGCCTTTAAAAATGGCTTTAAAAAACCTAATAATAACAACAGAGTGATAGTCCATTGTGGTTGATCTACTTCACTGATCTGCAGTATTAAGAATGGGGACAATAATGAATGAAGTTGTAAAACAAGTAGTTCCCTTTTCAAACATGACAGTCCAGCAAGTGAAGTAGAGTTTACCTGCTTCTCTGAACTCTGCGAATGAAAGTTGCCCAGCAACTTTTACTTTCCCTAATGTTAGGTATGTACACAACTTGAACCTGGATTCAAACTCAAGACTTTCGGATTAGCAAGAAGTTGTGTGGCCTATTTAATTTCCCTGGCATGTTGTGATATGGAAGCATTACATTGTTCTGTTTATAGTAATTAAAATATTCTTTTCTCTTGACCAAGTTAACTTAAGCATACATTCATTATTTACCAGCAACTACCTCAAAGATGCCTTAGTTCAAGAACTAAATGGACAGGTCAAGAATCTATTCAACAGGATGACCCTGAAGTCTATGACATCATCAAACAAGAAAAGTACCGGCAGTCTAATGGCATAGAGCTAATAGCCTCAGAGGTATTATCAAGTAGCCCAATAGAACTATCTAATGTTTATTTCTGTGATTGATTCATTAGAGCTTTTAGTCCATAGTAGCATATGTTGTTGAGTTAATTATTTTTTGCTTACAAAGGGATCATAGGGTCAGCATTATGCCCTGCGAACTTTGTTTGCATTAATAAAAGTATTAGTATTTTTAACTAACATTCCTATTTTGTAAATTAGAAAAATTTTAAAAAGTTACTGACTGATCAAAAAAACTTTTCTGTACAGAATTTTGCCAGCCGATCAGTACTTGAGGCCCTTGGTTCCTGTTTAAACAATAAGTACTCAGAGGGATACCCTGGCGCAAGGTATGGATTTAAATTTCAGCTCACATATTGTATTGGCTCCTTTATCTAGCTAGCTTTTAAGGTGTTATTATATAAATGCCAACCTGCTTCAATAGTATTATTCATCTAAATGGTTAGCGGTTAGTTATCAATAACATACACCATCTTTTCCTCAGGTATTATGGTGGAAATGAAAACATTGACAAAATTGAAAGATTGTGCCAGAAAAGAGCGCTTGAAGCATTTAGACTGGACCCTGAGAGTTGGGGGGTCAATGTCCAGCCCTACTCTGGTAGCCCTGCGAATTTCGCAGCATTTACTGCTCTCCTAAATCCACATGACCGATTGATGGGACTAGACCTGCCAGATGGTGGACAGTAAGTCTTTAATGTCTGATGGACAGTCAGTCTTTAACAGTTGACTTGCTCTAACAGTGTGATTAGACCTAAAGGATTAGATTTGTTTAGTCAAAAAAAGTTTTTTGTACTAAAAGTAACAGAAATTGATACTTATACGCCACTTTGTGACCCAAGCCTTCTTTTATTTTATAATATTTTAACAAGTGTGACATGTTTTTCAGTTTGACTCATGGTTTTATGACTGATACCAAGCGAGTTTCTGCGACTTCCATATACTTTGAATCAATGCCTTACAGACTGAATGTAAGTTAGTGATTATTGTCAGCCTTTGAAGACATATATGAGGGATTACAGTTTTAGCTTTTTAAAACCTGTGTACCCATATTTTATAGACCATAAACTGATAATTTTTATCATTTTTTTTTATTAATAAAAATAATTTAATGTTATATTTTTAAATACTGTATTATTATTTTTAGGGATTAAAGTAATTTTAATTTATACCTGTTTATCACTGATTAACTAATTTAGTCACAGAAAAAGGTTAACTCTACTTCACTTCTCCCATAGACCATCTGGTTTGGAAAGGGAACTTTACTGTACTAATTAAACGGCCTTATGAAAGATTACTACTTCAACAAATGAGCACTACAAAAATAATCATTGTTTTTTTAATTTTACCTGAAAGCCTAAGACTGGATATATTGACTATGATAAATTGAGAGAGACAGCCAGATTGTTTCGTCCGAGGCTTATAATTGCAGGAACCACAGCATACTCACGACTACTTGATTACAAAGCATTTAGAGAAGTATGTTGTTTATACAAATTTTCTTAGGAGATACTTAGCATTTTGTTGCCTTAAATCTAAAACCAAAATTTAAAAAATTATTACATTAAAAAAGCTTCAAGTGCATTTTATTCACAAGCAAATACTTTGCCATACTAAATACATTTGAGTTTTATAATTTTTAAGTTGGACCATAATTTGTGTCGCAGGTTTGTAATGAGGTCAAGGCCCACCTGCTAGCTGACATGTCTCACATCTCAGGACTTGTTGCCGCAAATGTCATACCATCACCATTTGACTTTGCTGATGTAGTCACATCTACAACTCATAAAACTCTCAGGGGCCCAAGGTTGTTTACTTGATAGAGAACATTTTTCTTTTAGTCTAAAATCTCTTATGTTTGATTGAACAGATAATTATATGAATGTATTGTGTATAAATTAAACCTATATTGCAGGTTAATGTTATTAATCATAAGGTTTCTAAATATTTAGGTCAGGCATGATATTTTATCGCAAGGGAGTTAAATCAGTAGACCAAAAAAGTGGGAAAGAAACACTGTATGACTATGATAAAACCATAAACAACGCCGTATTCCCTGCACTACAAGGGGGGCCACATGAGCACCAAATTGCAGGAATAGCTGTCGCTCTTAAACAGGTGAAATGTGTTATCTCACACAAATGTGAAATGAAATTAAACATTAAATTAGCATTGGTTACTTTAATAATTAGCCGTTATGTTGAAGTGCAAAAGAAAACTAATTACTCTAATGACTTTCAGGCCATGCAGCCTGAGTTTAAGCTGTACCAAGAACAGGTTCTGAAAAATGCTAAAGCTATGTGTGAGCCTCTTATCAAGAAAGGATACACTATAGTCTCTGGTTAGTGCGTTGTGAGTTATACTATAGTCTCTGGTTAGTGTGTTGTGCTGTTGTGAGTTACACTATAGTCTCTGGTTAGTGTGTTGTGCTGTTGTGAGTTACACTATAGTCTCTGGTTAGTGTGTTGTGCTGTTGTGAGTTACACTATAGTCTCTGGTTAGTGCGTTGTGAGTTATACTATAGTCTCTGGTTAGTGTGTTGTGCTGTTGTGAGTTACACTATAGTCTCTGGTTAGTGTGTTGTGCTGTTGTGAGTTACACTATAGTCTCTGGTTAGTGTGTTGTGCTGTTGTGAGTTACACTATAGTCTCTGGTTAGTGCGTTGTGAGTTATACTATAGTCTCTGGTTAGTGTGTTGTGCTGTTGTGCTGTTGTGAGTTACACTATAGTCTCTGGTTAGTGTGTTGTGCTGTTGTGAGTTACACTATAGTCTCTGGTTAGTGTGTTGTGCTGTTGTGAGTTACACTATAGTCTCTGGTTAGTGTGTTGTGCTGTTGTGAGTTACACTATAGTCTCTGGTTAGTGTGTTGTGCTGTTGTGAGTTACACTATAGTCTCTGGTTAGTGCGTTGTGAGTTATACTATAGTCTCTGGTTAGTGTGTTGTGCTGTTGTGAGTTACACTATAGTCTCTGGTTAGTGTGTTGTGCTGTTGTGAGTTACACTATAGTCTCTGGTTAGTGTGTTGTGCTGTTGTGAGTTACACTATAGTCTCTGGTTAGTGTGTTGTGCTGTTGTGAGTTACACTATAGTCTCTGGTTAGGGCGTTGTGCTGTTGTGAGTTACACTATAGTCTCTGGTTAGTGCGTTGTGCTGTTGTGAGTTACACTATAGTCTCTGGTTAGTGCGTTGTGAGTTATACTATAGTCTCTGGTTAGTGTGTTGTGCTGTTGTGAGTTACACTATAGTCTCTGGTTAGTGTGTTGTGCTGTTGTGAGTTACACTATAGTCTCTGGTTAGTGTGTTGTGCTGTTGTGAGTTACACTATAGTCTCTGGTTAGTGTGTTGTGCTGTTGTGAGTTACACTATAGTCTCTGGTTAGGGCGTTGTGCTGTTGTGAGTTACACTATAGTCTCTGGTTAGTGCGTTGTGCTGTTGTGAGTTACACTATAGTCTCTGGTTAGTGCGTTGTGCTGTTGTGAGTTACACTATAGTCTCTGGTTAGTGCGTTGTGAGTTATACTATAGTCTCTGGTTAGTGTGTTGTGCTGTTGTGAGTTACACTATAGTCTCTGGTTAGTGTGTTGTGCTGTTGTGAGTTACACTATAGTCTCTGGTTAGTGTGTTGTGCTGTTGTGAGTTACACTATAGTCTCTGGTTAGTGCGTTGTGCTGTTGTGAGTTACACTATAGTCTCTGGTTAGTGCGTTGTGCTGTTGTGAGTTACACTATAGTCTCTGGTTAGTGCGTTGTGCTGTTGTGAGTTACACTATAGTCTCTGGTTAGTGCGTTGTGCTGTTGTGAGTTACACTATAGTCTCTGGTTAGTGCGTTGTGCTGTTGTGAGTTACCCTATTGTCTCTGGTTAGTGCGTTGTGCTGTTGTGAGTTACACTATAGTCTCTGGTTAGTGCGTTGTGCTGTTGTGAGTTACACTATAGTCTCTGGTTAGTGCGTTGTGCTGTTGTGAGTTACACTATAGTCTCTGGTTAGTGCGTTGTGCTGTTGTGAGTTACACTATAGTCTCTGGTTAGTGCGTTGTGCTGTTGTGAGTTACACTATAGTCTCTGGTTAGTGCGTTGTGCTGTTGTGAGTTACACTATAGTCTCTGGTTAGTGCGTTGTGCTGTTGTGAGTTACACTATAGTCTCTGGTTAGTGCGTTGTGCTGTTGTGAGTTACACTATAGTCTCTGGTTAGTGCGTTGTGCTGTTGTGAGTTACACTATAGTCTCTGGTTAGTGCGTTGTGCTGTTGTGAGTTACACTATAGTCTCTGGTTAGTGCGTTGTGCTGTTGTGAGTTACACTATAGTCTCTGGTTAGTGCATTGTGCTGTTGTGAGTTACACTATAGTCTCTGGTTAGTGCGTTGTGCTGTTGTGAGTTACACTATAGTCTCTGGTTAGTGCGTTGTGCTGTTGTGAGTTACACTATAGTCTCTGGTTAGTGCGTTGTGCTGTTGTGAGTTACACTATAGTCTCTGGTTAGTGCGTTGTGCTGTTGTGAGTTGCAGGCAACGGACTGTCAATGATGCCAATAATCATAAAGACTTAACTCCAAATTTGTAAAGTCTAATGGAACAACATGATATGATAAACAAATGTATTAATTTGTTCCAAAGTTTTTATTTAGATCCTAGCCACTAACCCCATTACTTAACTGCCAGTTGCCACTGATAATATTGTGTACATGTACTTACATGTCACTCTAAAGATTGAAACCTGGCCTGTGTTGAACGATCAATTGACTGACCTTAGTAGTCACAGGCAAACTCATGTCACCCAACAGCACACTACCCAAGGCATCTTCCCCCACCCCGGCAAAATTCTAATATTAATATTAAAAATATATACTTAAAAAACCAGCACCCCCTCAACCACTAAATTCTGTTTTTACGCCAAAAACAATTACGGTCAAAGGGGAACAACCAAGTTAATTTTTTTGCTAAATAATCTAAGCTTAGTTATCCCTCATAAGATTGCATAAAAAAAAATTTAAATATAAGGTTATCACAGAAAACCCTGACAGGACTATTCTCAATAATCTTTTTGCAACTTTCAAACAATTGTTCATACCTTTTGTAGGAGGCACTGACAACCATTTGGTACTGGTAGACCTCAGACCAAAAGGTACAGATGGTGCTAGGGTGGAGCGTGTGTTAGAACTGTGTTACATCACTGTCAACAAGAACACCTGTGCAGGTGACAAGAGTGCAATGACACCTGGAGGACTTAGGCTTGGTCTGTATTCTAACATTTTTCTTACAATTTAAGGTGCTAATTTATACCTTTTAACAAGTATTTTGTTGTGACATTTTATTATTGATACTCAAAGGAGCCCCAGCTTTAACTAGCAGAGGATTAAAAGAAAAAGATTTTGAAAAAGTTATAGATCTTCTTGACAAGGGTGTTCAAATTTCTGTTCAAGCCCAAGCCAAAACAAGTAAGTCAGCACACAAATTTATTTGTTTAATGTTAAATGGGCACATGTTTGGTGTGTAATTGTTGCCATTATTTTTCATTATTTTTCCTGCTACTTTAATACTCCTCCTAGCTTATGAATTGTGGGCAATTTTTATTTCAGAGACTCTAAAAGATTTCAAGGCATTTGTCAATGAGGATGAGGCTATACAGAAAGAGATCAAAGCCTTGAAAGAAGAAGTCATCTCATTTGTCAAAGATTTTCCAATTCCTGGATTCGCTGACAGATAAACTGTTTAAAACTATACTATACTCATTTTGCTCCACATATTTTGAGTGCTATTTACTCATTCCTAAACTTTTATGTCAGAATCTTACAACCAGTTGTCTACATTTGTCTCCACACTCAAGTCTGTTTATCAGTGTACAAGAACTGATGTCAATACCTTTAACTATAATATATGTTAAGCAGATTGGCTTAAGTGTGGTAGTGGGTATGTTTATAATTACAATCAGTAACTTTCACTTGTGTTTTGTATGAAATCATAGTCTGGGGAGTTGCATGAGGCAACTGCTAAGAGGGGTGTATCAACCCAGTATTAATTAGAATTGTGCAATATACTGGCTGCAGGTACATTTGTTAAATATGTTAATGTAAAAAATGTAACAAGGTAATTGTTGAGATAAAACATATTGAATGCTTCTATAAAGTTTAGAATTGTAAAGGGTTTTTTTTTATACTGAGGTGCAGTGAAATAAAAGTTACCACTGAGCTCTTTCTGCATCAATATTTCAAACAAGTGTTCTGTTGTAGTTTAAACTTTCCTTCACAAACAAGCTTCTGAAGAAATCCATTTTCAAGAAAGGTGTTAAAATTAGTGGGAGTATCTATATATAATTCTCTTATGTGGGGACCATGCATGCAAGACACAACCAAGACGTAAGCTCAACAAACGATATCGCTACCACCCCCACCAGTCTGGTGAGCTGTTAACAATCATTGTGACGGCTATTATTAGGGGCAGATAGTTTAGTTTTTAAACTATTTGAAATAACAAAATTAACATGTTCTGCTTGCTCTTTTCATTGTCTGTAAAATTTCACAGACTGCTGCTTTCGCGTGGGTTAACTTAAAGCAAACATTTTCACTCACAGCATTGGTTCGAATTCACAAATTATGAATTACTGAAAAATAGGAATTAAATGGCGGCGTATGCTACGTCGCAGGTCAGCTCATGTAGTAGTACTAATAGTAAAAACTATTCTATTTTTATAAGACCTACACTTTTTTTGCAAAAGTTCATAGTGAGTCATTTAGTAGATGTTTCTTTATAATTTATGGTACTTGAGTTGTACTAAGTGTTATAAAGCATTGTGTCGTGCAAAATTTAAAATCAAGATATTTACAAATCAAGTTATTTCTTGAATTCAACTTCAACCTTTGGTTTTTTAAAAGCCCTTAACTGCTTCATTTAGATGAAATACAACAAATATACAGATCTAATTGTTTTTGAATAGTGTTATTTCCGGTGAAAGGTAGTAGTACTAGTACTTTACCCTTATTGTCAGTTGAGCCAGAAACATGCAAGCAAAATCACAAACACTACCACCTTTCCACATAGGCCTCCAAGACATCTTGCGACAAAATGTTTCTTTGAAAATTAAGGTTTCTTTTATAATGTACTTATGTTCTGCATTAATTTAAAATTATACACTTTGCTCATTTGGTGCAATTCTTTTCTTCAAGATTCGTTTCTATTTTAAAAATTTCTATACCCCGAAGAGAGATAAAATCCTAATTAGAGAACATTCCACAACACCCCTGCTGAATTTAAGTCATAAAAAAACCCTGTAATTTAAAATGTGGACCATAACAAATGACACTTGAGGGAGAGTTGCCCCCACAGGTGTGTCATATGAACCATTTGACCCAGCATTTACTATGATTATAAAAATCCAGTATTTTAAGTTTCATTATTTCTTATCAAACTTGTAGATTTGATAAAGCTCTCCTGGAAAAATATTTGCAAATGCTGATACACTGCACAAATGCCTGACACAAAAACTGACCATCTCTGGGTTATGTCACATTCAATATCCACATAAAGCTAAAACAATCACAATAAAACATTAAAAAATACAAAAACTTAAATACAATTTTCTTTTTATTGTGTAGCTGTGTGTTCTTGTAATCAACAAATTAGGCTATGGAGCTTGCGTTAGATGCAATACGGGGCCACAGGTCAGCACACTCCTTTGCAACTGGACCTGTGATGGCAGATCCTGGAAGCAAACAAAACAAAAAAATATAATACCATTTGTGATAAAATTAAAAGCAATCCATTAACAAAGTAGTGACTTAACTGTCTAAAATGTTACAGAACACCACTTGGGGAAATAAAATATCCTAACAAAAGCAATACCTTTCATTTCTCCTTTAGGATTTACAATAACACCAGCATTATCTTCAAAATAAATGAAAACACCATCCTTTCTCCTGAAAGGCTTTCTCTGACGAATAACTACAGCTGGCATTACTGTAGAAAGATAAAATTGAATGTATTAGAAGCAGACTTAGGAAAAGGAATGCTTCATGTAAAGTTCTTAGGACCCAGCGATCCATTGGACAGACTGAGATGAAGTTCATGTCCAAGCAATACATTTGCTTTACAAGCTACCACTCTTAACAATAACTGTTTAGAAAGCAAACCAGTTACAAATTACTGCAAAAATATCTTTTAAAAGTAAAGCAGGCTTATAGAAGTATTGCTTGCTACTGTGGAGGTGGGGCTGGTTGCTAACAACAATACAGCGTACAGACCGGATGCATGACTTTTCATCTTAGTTCCTTGCAGAGACCTTAAAATAACTTTTTTAAATGGTTACCACTGTGTCATTAAAATTAATAGAACTTTTCCAATATCAGCCAGGAGAGTACAAAGATGAAAGAGGTTGTAGAACTATTAAGGTTACCAGTTTATGAAAAAATAAATCAAACATTGCAGGCACTTTTTTTTAAAGACAACTTCAGAATGACAACCAAATTTATTTGGCAGGAAAAAGATATGCATGCGCAATGGAGAAACTACCACTTGCCTTCGCTGCGAAGTTTTCGATGGTACTGCGCATGGGTGTTTACAACCGCAGAACCCTAGCCCTAACCCCAACCCTAGCCAGTAAATTTTATATTTAGTAAGAAAATCTATTAACAAGATTACATCAGGTAGATCTGGTACTGTCAGACCTCTACATATTCTAGTCTAGATCTAGATTCTAGGCCTGTAGCCCACATACAGGAAAAAAAAAGAAAGTTAAGGATTGAGGAGGACCGCTAATTCCAGAGACAAGACATTTCAAGTAACGGGTTTACTGGGTACGTATACAATGAAACCTGAACATAGTCCAAAACTACAGGGTAGGTTGTTTATAAGTTACCTTTCTTCCTTAACTCTGGTTTGCCTTTCTTGACTGTTGCAACAAACATGTCACCAGAACCTGCTGCTGGAAGTCTGTTGAGGCGACCTTTAATTCCACTGACAGCAATGACATATAGATTTTTGGCTCCTGTATTATCCGCACAATTGATAACAGCACCCACTGGGAGACCCAGTGCAATGCGGAATTTGCCACCAGCCGTTCCACCCCTTCCTATGTAAGATAAGTAGAATCATCATGAAAATCACTGAACTGAATAAACTCTTTTTTGTATATTATAAACTATATTTAGGTTAACACTAGTAATTGTTAACATTTGTTCGTTTAATAGTTAATATGATATTATATTTTTTACATTTCAAATATATTTTCTAAGTGTAGATTTCATTCGATTTTATTAAAGCACTGTGACCAAAACAAACCTACCTCTCTTGGACATTTTGGATAAAAAGGAAGTACAATTTGCGCATGTACAGGAAGAGGAAACAATCAACTCAAAAGTTGGCTGGCCTCTTTACGGAAATAATCTAAACTATTAAAAAATTAACGATTTTAAATTAAAACATTGAAAGGATCTTTTTTTAATAATGTAGCACTAGAAGTGTAGAATAACCGTTTTTGTATGATATAGTTTATGGCCAGAATTTCTGCGTCAAAATTTGGCTGTTTTTTAATCTTCTACTTAACCTAGTGGTCATTCATAAGCAAGTCCACATACATTGGAAAGGAGGTGAGGGTATGGAATTGGTGTAGATGTGTGACGAGAGCGAGTCGGGGTCAGAAAGTGTGACGACACACTTTTACTGCTTGAAAAGTAATGACATTTGATGTTAACTGTTTTTTTTTCATGTTTTAGCCTAAATAATAAAATCTGCAATTACGATTTGGGGGGGGGGGGGGTCAACTGAAGTGTGTTGTCCTTTTAAGGGTAGGTTTCTGGCTTTTTGAGACGATGTGTAGCGATGGGGAGGGGGTGGTGGGGGAGGCCCTCCCCTCCCCCTCCGAAGATTCTCTACTGCCACTTAACAAAATAGAATTTATATAAAACATAGTTTTACCACTGTGCCCTCCCAAAACATATCGTCGTCGTCGTCCCCCCCCCCCCTCCCCCCCCCCCCCCCCCCCCCCCCGAGAGAAAAAGTCTGGAAGAAACTCTGGGACTATGTATCTAGCGAAAACATTTATAGTATTGTTTGTATATAAGAACTGTTGAACTTTAAAAACCATTAAATATGACGTCCACGTGGAAGGGGACGGGAGTGCGGAAAAAAAATAATCGACCTTTGTGAACGTGTAGAGACTGGAGGGGGAGGGAGGCAGTGGCGTAGGCAGGGGGGTTAGGGGGGGTCATAACCCCCCATAGACCCCTCGGTATATATATAAAGTCTGAGGGGGGGGTGCAAATCGAAAGTTTGAGGGGGGGGGGTGCAAATCGAAAGTTTGAGGGGGGATGCAAATCGAAAGTTTGAGGGGGGGGGGGGGGTGCAAATCAGAAGTCTGAAGTTTGTCCCCGGGTAAAAATTGGAAACCTCCCCCCCCCCCTTGAGACGACCCTGGCTACGCCACTGGAGGGAGGTTGGGTTCATACAATGATACGACTTGTATCTGGAGGGAGGTTGGGTTCATACAATGATACGACTTGTATCTTGCATGCAAAAAGTAACATTCAGACAGCAGTGCCTTGGACATGTGAATATATTGATCAATTTTTATTGCAATTTACAAAAAAAAAATTATCTTTTAACAACGTGAAATACTCATAAAATTCAGTTTCTAACTTTATTGAAAAAGTGTTTCGTCATACTTTCAGCAAGGTTGCGTTCACACATTTCAAGTCGTGACAAAAGTCCGAGCCTCCCCCGTAGTAGTGAGACACTTAATGCTATATTTATTATTAGTCTACCGCTTTGAAAAGCGAGAGGTAAAATGTAAGAGATTACAACCTTACGACTTATTAATGTTATGATTGTTATTATAGTACATCCAGGGCGCAGGATTGGGTCGCTACGCCATTTGTGGGTGTATAGTTAACAGTACCGAAAAGTGAAGTCCCCCAATACGACAAATCTTTATGAGATCAGTGTTAACCTACTAAGCTGCTTGGGTCTAATATGATATGCTGGCCCCACAAGGAAAAGATGGAGTCCCAAAAAACATATGACCTATGAAAATTTATAAAGACAAGAAATATTTTGGAGAGAGTTTGAAAGAAATGGGCAAAAAATAGCAAAGGGCAGAAAAGCGTGGAAGGATGTTGGATAAATGTAAACTACCTATGTTCCACTGATACGAATATATCGCTGTAGTAGACGGGGATACATTATTAAAATTGAGTTACAATAGCTGACCACACACTCCCATACATACAGGGGTGGACTTGGCCGCCATGACACGGGGGGGGGGGATCCCAGTTGACCGCCGGGGCGTTGGAACAGGAATTGTGACGTGACGTGCCTAATAGTGCTTTGAATTGTGAGGAGAAAAATTGTTCGGGGGGGGGGGGGGGGTGCAGCTTTTCCATTTCCATTCCTTCGAGTCTGGTTGTGAAAAATTCACGTTTTAAATCAGGTGGACCTCTTATAGTTTATCCCGGGCCGCTTACAGTTTATCCCGGGCCGCTTGGGTACAGGAGTCCACTTCTGCATACACAGGTTTGGAAACCTCTTCTTCAATCTATCAGGAAAATGTGAGTGAATCTTCAATAGCAGTAGAAAACCCGATCTAAAGAGTTTCAGGTTAGAACCCACTATGATTAAATGTCTTTAACTTTCTAAACAATTGTGTAGTTCAACAGCATTGTCAAGGAATCAAACTCTGATTTGAAGTTGTTTTACTGTATGACTAGGAGGCAGAGAGTAACTGGTAGTGTAAGATGAAATAAGAGACAAAAGATAGTTTATAACACAACTACACCGGCGCTGGTGTGGAACCTATTGGTAAAAAGAAGAGGGGGAGACACACAAAAAGTCAAGTAAGAAATACTTCGAAAGAGCAACATCGTAGGTCAGTGGCGTAGGCAGGGAGGGGGTTCATAACCCCCCCCCCCCCATAGACCCCTCGGTATATATATAAAGTATGAGGGGGTGTAAATTGTAAATCGAAAGTTTGAGGGGGTGGGGGGGGGTGCAAATCAAAAGTTTGAGTGGGGGGGGGGGTGCACATCGAAAGTTTGTCCCCGGGTAAAAATTTTAACACCCCCCCCCCATGAGACGATCCTGGCTTGATTGAATAATCAAGGCTTGAACTAAAATTAAGTTGATTGACGCATTGTTGCCTAGGCCTTTTGTTCCTTAGGTAGCCGAAAGGAATAAAAAGGAGAAAATCAGCAGTTTGGAAGGTGATTCCTAGAAAGTTGCATAGTAATTTGGTTCATTTTTCGATCGTGTCTTTAGAACAATCTCGAAAATAGTACATTACAGTTTTAGACTTTTAGTACCAAAATAAGTATTGGTTAATTTTAAATATAGAAAGCCTGGTTATTTATTTCTCAAGTTCTTAAAATTTCGATAAAAAAAAAGAGTATCGCTTTCCATTTCACCCGCTTCGACCGAATGTTATTTTACTGGTTAGATATCGTGATATTTATTTCTCTTTAATAAAGGATCCAGACAATATCTAATGCAATCATGTAAAAATATCTGTTCTCTCTACGCGTTAATCCGATTGGTTTCTTTTCTGCATGTCAAAATATCTAACTACTCACCAATCAGTTTATACTGGCGAAAAAGCGCCCCCCCCCCCCCCACACTGTTTTGGAAAAAGCTTGAGATCGTATGTAACCGGTCACTGACTCTTAAGGGTGTTCGTTTAACTGTCACACAATCAAAGTAAAAAACAGTTAATTCAGCGTATAAAGCCTTGCATCCGTTTATTTTCTTCACTTTGGTTGTGTATAGTTCTTATTGAGCTTTTTTTCTATCCCTCTTGGCGCCCCCTACTAATGGTTGGCGCCCGGAGTGGCTTCCCCTATTTACGCCACAAATGTCAAGATTACAGAAGCAGTGGACTATACATTCATAATATGCAGAGTTTCTTCCAGGCATCTCATCGGGGTGGGGGGGGGGGCGGCCCCCCGAAGAAAGTCTACCGCCCCCCCCCCCCCCCCCGAACGAAATGGAATTTATATAGAAAATATATACTTTTACCAGAGTCCTTCCCCCCCCCCCCCGAAAATATCAAGTGCCCCCCCCCCCCCCCCCCGGAGAAAAAAGTCTGGAAGAAACACTGTTTATATGTCCCATCGGCTGCCTAGTTCGAAAGGGTTACTTTTATTTACATAATATAAAAAATAATAGTTTCTTACAACTTCGCAAAAAAAATAATTTTAAAAATGAATTATGTAGGCCTACATTTTTTGCCTCCGGTGCTTGCCGTATTGCTTCGTAAAACCCTCTGTTTTCGTGAAAGATGATTTTATATTTTGTACCAATAATCACTGAGTTAGGAAAAATAGTTCTGATGTAGTTATTTGGTAATTCACTACCGAGATATCCAGATAATTCTCAGTATCGTTATATGCGACACTTATCCCGTGTCTGATTCTCTTATCATTATACATGTTCGCAGCACATCATGATCAGTGTTTCTTCCAGACTTTTTTCACCGGGGGTGCACTTGAAATTTTCGGGGGGGGGGGGGGGACATGTCAACAATTTCCGGGGGGGGGGGGGCGGTGGACTTTCTTCGGAGATGCCTGGAAGAAACTCTGAACATAATCCTTTGCTTCTTTGGTGTAAACTAAACATCCACCCACCAAACAAATGTATATATTAAAAGAAATACGATTTTGTGATACGAGGTTCACTGATATTTTCAGACATCAGTGAATGTTACTCCACGCGTTTCTTGAAGAATATTACGGTATAATATACTAAAAACCAGTGAATTTTTATTAGTTAAAATGTGTTATCGCTCTAATCACATAATTGAATAGAATCTAGGCTAATGTAAACTAATAAAAATACTTAATTAGACACATGCACACAAACCAACTTTTAACCACTTTCTAGCCAACATAAAAAATGATAAGCCAGAATTTTTTTAAAGGGAGACAATAACAATCATGTTTTAAAATCTAGCCTAAGTTTTTATTCGGTTAGTCTCCTTCATTAATTTAAAACTCATATTTTTCCCAACAGTAGGTCTACATCTATATTTTCCGGAGGAATACACATTTAACGCCCGTTACACTGACTAGATCTAGATATCTAGTATGTAGTAAAGTTTAAAGTAGTATAACTGGGCCAGTGTGTTTTAGTTTTAGTTTTCTTTCAAATTTCTACAGTGACAGAGGACATAGATCTAGTTTTGTTCGCAATATTAGACATGTTTTACGTGGTTCATTTAAACATGAAAAAAAAAGTTTAGTAAACAAAGTTGGTGTTTTGATAATGAATAAGGACGTCTTCTGCGCATTATTTCCTATTAGTTGTGTGTTTTCGATGTTCTTGATTCTGTTTTACAAATTTAAATTTGGGACGCACTGTGTACATAAAATACATCCGGTTCGGGGAGATATTTTTAACATTTTGCACACGACACGAGAGTTTTACAAGTGGTAAGCGCTGTGACTGCCGCTTCAAACCATTTCCGTGCCCAAAAATCGGCATTTGTTGATTTCAAAACTGCTGCTATTATTAGTGTGTGTTTCCTTGGATTATTTGAAGTGTTTGAAGCCTAGCAGTGACGATTTAGGATTTAATCAAGATGAACAAAAAGTGTGCGAAGTGCTTAAAGACTGTCTATCCGACAGAGGAGTTAAAATGTCTCGACAAGGTAAGAACAATCGTCACAAATGGAAAACAGTACCGTGGATTGGCTTTGGAAACAGCCCTCGATGCTAGTCTCGGTTATTGTCGTACTCAAGCATCTAGATTCTAGATCTAGATCTAGATCTAGATCTAGTCAGTAGGCTTGACATAAACCAGTTACCTGCTGAGAGGCATCTCGTTTGAATGCTGCAATCTAAATCTAAATATAATAAGAGATCGAATACGCCTTACTCAAATTATAGCACATTAGGCCTATTATTAGTACGATAAATGACAGTGTATATTAATTTATTAATTTAAATATTAAAATCGAAGTGACTAGGTACTAGATCTAGTACTAGAAATCTAGTAGTAGGTAAGGTAGGCCTACTCTGAAAAAAGTCTGGAGTAAATAGTAGCCTAAATAAGAATATAGTAGTAGGCCTATAGACTACTGGTTGCTCCATATATCTCTCAAGGTTGATAACATAGATCTAGATCTATTATGTAATTTGTAACTTTTAAAATAGTGTACTTTTTTAATAAATGAGGAAAACATTTTTAAAGGTCATAATGAATAGGCCAAGACATCTAAATAACAGGCCTAGACCTAGGTTCAATAACTATAATATAATTTATAATTTCCCCACTTAATTTATGTAAAAGACAAGTAAAATAAAATTATGATTTAAGCCACTAAAAAATTCCCCTACAGTAGTGAAGACTCAATAGTGATAGTGTTTCACTAACTTCACTTAACAGGTAGGGAGGGGGGGTTGACAACACTGGTTAAACTATATATTTTGTAGGCCTAGGCCTATAGGCCTATATAAATTTTATTTAGTGCATGGGGGCGTGGTGCTTACTTGAAGAAACTGTCGGCTGTTCATACAGCTAGATGTAGCATTGTTTTCTCTAGTGTTTGCATGTCTACATCATGGTGCAATCTCTGATCCCTTGTGCGGATTGTCATTATGTACTCAAAATACTTTTAACTCTGGTTGACCATTCATTGAAATGGCAGTGTCACCCCCCCCTACATGGTGTCACCCGGTGCTGTCCGCACCCCCGCCTTGCGACGCCTCTGTGTATATGTCTTTACAGGAAGTACCCAGTAAAATAACCAATACTGTAATTGTGTTGTTATGATGGCTGCCTTGTTTTTATTATTGACTATAATATAAAATATTTTTCGCTGATCACTGACGATGTAGTAGTATGCTAGTGTTGTTTCTTTCCTACCGGTATAACTGCCAGAGTTTATTTCACGCATTGCTTCAGCAAACACCCCACCACTTAAACAACATAGAATCGATAAAGAAAAATATGATTTTAACAGTGTTATTGTTGTCGTCTCTCCCCCCTCTCTTGCCCCCCCCCCCCCCCCCCCCGAAAACAATTCTAAAAGAAACACTGTTAGTTGTGGTGATCTCAGGAAACATTTTTTCCTTGAAACTTATACTAGTGTAGGTTAGGGTTAAGGTAATGATTGTGCCAGTTGAGGAGTGTGTAGAATATTAATTGAAGTAGCTTGGTCAAGGTAGTTGAGACACCTTGAGAATATTACAGGGTTTCTTTCCAGATATTTTTCTACAAATGAGGGGTGCCCTTATAATTTCAAAATTTCAAGGGGTGGGTGGACAGCTTAGACACTGGATAAAGGATATATTTTCTATATAATTGATATGTATATATATATATGAGTGTATATAGCCTTTATGTATAATTTATATTTTGTATTGTCATTTCCCCCCCCCCCCCCCCCTCCAATGCTTTAAAAAACAAATTCTTATAGTATTTAAAAGTTGCTGTTCTTGTCTGTCTTAATTACCTGTCATTACTTGATGAGGTTTAAGTAGCATCATGGCCATGTTGTTGGTAGAATCTTGTTAAAACACAGTTTGATTGTTCCTCAAGAAAGTATATCTAGTTGTCTAATTATGCAATCTCATGTAACAACAACAGGGGTGAGGATGGTAGAGACTTTAACATCACCAGGACAAATGAAACGTTTGATATTGTAATGATGTAGTCGTTGTTAGTTGGTTATCCCTAACTTTCTAAAAGTACTTTGGTGGGTTGCGTATGTGATTGTTGATGGATGTGTGATTGCTGTATTACAAGTCCCCTGGTTGGCAGTTAAGTTCTGGTTGTGAGAGATGTTGGCAGTGTGGTCAGCGTAATAGGCAACTTGGTAGGCAGGTTGTGTAACTAGACTCCTCACCTGAGGTTTTCTAAATTGATTGTTAACACAATGATTGCTTCATGGGACGGAGTGGTCTAGCGGTACGGAGCTGGACTGCTAACCCGTAAGTCTCGAGTTCGAATCTGGGTTCAAGTCAGTAGACCATCTCTGAGTTCACCCAACTCTGATGGGTACCTAACTCACGTTAGGGAAAGTTAAGGCGGCTGGGAATAGTGCCGGCCACACTATCTCTTCATATACTGAGGCCACAGAAACAAGTGAACTCTACTTCACTTGCCCTATAGACCATCAGGTTTGAACTTTACTTTTACAACTATCACTTCTATTTTCACTACACTACATGCATTGCTTGCCACTTCCATCCCAGTATTCATTGAAATAAGTTGGATGGCTCTTGATGAGTACTCATTAAAGAAATAAACCATATTTCTGTGCTGTGTACACTAGTGTTTTCTTTTTTTACTGGTGGCTTCCTTCCTGTTTGGTGAACTCAGCACATTTTGGGAGAAATAATTACCTGCTGTAAGATGAAGGTTTCAGAAAACAGTTTAATTAAATGGAAGTTTTAAAAATCTAGGTTATCACTGTAACTGTAAAATATGAGTTTGTTAAGATTTTAAAAATGTTTATGTTGTGCTGAATGTATTTTTTCTTCTTTAAACTGAGAGACATCTTTAACAGTAACACATTTGTGTTGTGAATCGGTTGAATTATGTTGTGCTTCTCACTTCAAGGCTGCAATGTTTTTGTTGGTCATTGTGAGGTTGGTCTGTTTTTGTTGCTCATTGCGAGGCTGCTATGTTTTTGTTGCTCATTGTGAGGCTGGTCTGTTTTTGTTGCTCATTGCGAGGCTGCTATGTTTTTGTTGCTCATTGTGAGGCTGGTCTGTTTTTGTTGCTCATTGCGAGGCTGGTCTGTTTTTGTTGCTCATTGTGAGGTTGGTCTGTTTTTGTTGCTCATTGCGAGGTTGGTCTGTTTTTGTTGCTCATTGTGAGGCTGATATGTTTTTGTTGCTCATTGCGAGGTTGGTCTGTTTTTGTTGCTCATTGCGAGGCTGCAATGTTTTTGTTGCTCATTGTGAGGCTGGTCTGTTTTTGTTGCTCATTGTGAGGCTGGTGTGTTCTCTTGTTGACCTGCTCTGTTGTTCTCTGTTTCTGCCACTGTTTTGATTACCGCGCACTTCAATCTTACTGATGTCTAGATAGCGACAAATGGCTTCCTCTTCACTGGTTAGATTATAGCTTCAGCTGTATCTACTTAGTTTAAGATAATCACTTGAGAAAAACAATTTCCTTTGTTGAGAGGCTGTGAGCTCTCTGCAGGATGTAGCAAAGTTTACCATGACAAATTTCACAGTTGAAGGTCTCTGATCGTTAATGATCTTATCCAAATACCGTGGCCGTGTTGTGTACACCTGCTGCGACGTGTGTCCGTCCTCACCTGTTCGAGGCTTACAAATATTTACCTTCATCTATTCAGGAAGTAAAAGTCCATGTCTAAGCCGGGTTGTAACTTTGGAAACGTCAAGAAGTTAATTAAAACCTATTGTCAACAAAACAGCACTCGTCGTGTTTCCTATTGTTTCACTCGTTGCCTCGCTCGCGAAAACACGAACTCCCCTCTCCACTCGTGTCCCTTATCAGCGGTTGTCTGGGCGATTATTTATTCATGCCCACACGCTCAAAATGTGATAAAACAATTGGCCAATTAGATTTACTAATTGGTAAGTGAGTAGTTAACGGTCATATTGATATCAACAAAATACTCGAGCGGCAAACGCGAGGCATGCTGTATCAATAGTCATTGATTATTCACACATACGGAGCAGCGTGTGATATTGACGTCTGCTTAGCGTACCAAGGCCCATAATTCAATCAGTATGTAACGCTTCGGCCGCCCGTAACCCGTAACCTGCTGGCGTGTTTGCTTGTAGGCGTGTTTCTGTATGCCATATAGGCATATATATATATATATATATATATATATATATATATATATATATATATATATATATATATATATATATATATATATATATATATATATATATTGGGTCTGATGTTGGCACGTGTTGTCCAATAGGTTGATGACGAGACCACACGAAATTTAGAGTAATAATTGAGCATTGAAGATTCGCTGACAAGTGTATGGACTCGCTTAGATAATGCGAGTTTATATTTCATATCGACAATTACATTAAGCAGGTTATGTGACAAGAATATACGAGGCTGTTTCTCTGAGCCGAGTGCTGCGTCGTTAAGGCCAAGGGGCGTGGCTTAGTTATATATGGAATTGTGATGCATATCAGCATAGTTAAGGTATAAAGAGTTGGGTGTTTTATGCTGGCGCAGTATGCTTTTAAAACGTTGCATGGTATTCACTACGCCGTCATGTTATTCTTGGTTGACACATCAAGCTGTGCAGTCCGTGGTGAAAACAGAATGAGACCCTGGGTAGTTCTTGTTTCGTCTAACACTTCCTCCGTCTTCCTGCTCTTGGCTGTACGATTCGGTGAACAGCCCACACCATCCAGTACCGCAGGTAGATCAGCTGTAGAGGTCCATTCATAAACACGACGACACATTCCTGGTCCTGCCCAAATAAGGAAGTGACTGCTTGTGACTAATGCCACGGCCCTCGCCTACCTTCTCGGCAGTAATAATTAATTTATGAACGTACCTATCAGAGGACCACCGCGCTATACATCGCATTTAAAGTAACTCTCCTGGTTTTTTTTAGTAAGTCTAAGCCGAGATTAGCAAAGTAGAAGTATTTTGTTACAGAACGCTCGCTGAAAGGTTGCATTTATTTGTTACACA